AACTGGTAAAGAAAAAAGACCCCTAGCGACAATTTGGTAAATAAAATAGCTCTGGCGACAATTGGGTAAAAAAAGCTAATCTCAAGTGACAATTTGGCAAAAAAATATCTCGGGCAACAATTAACCCAAAATATACAAAAAATTCCGACAAACTACTCGCAAATGCTTAATTTAGTTCATTTTTCGTGGTTTCCTTATCTAAATCCCCAACCTCTTTTTCGGGATTAACAATTTGAAGAAAAATTATTGTTTAAGTATTAATTTTCACGTAATTTTCCTACCCCTTATTATTGAAAGTTTTTTTAAATGGGGTTGGAAATAAATTTGATATCGGGATACAACATAATAAAAGGAGAGGACATATTAATTTAAATTTAAAATGGGAAAAATGATTTTAAAAAATACAATAACTAATTGAATGAGGAAATTTGAAGACTTTGTCGGAAAAAATTTAGATATTTGGTCTAAATATCGCTCGAGATTAATTTTTTTACCAAATTGTCGCTTGGGGTTAACTTTTTTTACCATATTGTCGCCGGAGTTATTTTTTTTACCAAATTGTGGCTAGGGGTCTTTTTAATTTACCAATCTGGTCAATTGGCCTAATCATATATCACTAATAAATAAAGCCGGTCTCGCAGCCAGGCCACGAGACAGCGACACTTGGCATTTCAGTTTTTCGCCAAGTGTCGAGCTACGTAGGCAACAAATAAATATTATTGTTATTAGATTGGATAAATTTGTTTAGGATAAAAAGTATAAATATAATAATTTACTATTCTTTTGAAAAAAATTATCTTTTTATCTTTTTATTGACAATAGAATTTTACTTATAGCAACACACCGCATATTATAATTAATATGAATATCCAATTAACAATAGAATTTAACTCCTATACGAATAACAACGTAATTTTAATTATAAAAATGGTCATGTATCATTGAATATTTTTTAGTCTACTATTGGTTTACGATTAAAGCTTTTTAATAAGGTATTCTTCATATTCGGTTGTAATATTTGTGTATGTTTGTGATTTTGTTAATGAAATCAAAGAAGTAAAAAACTACTAAAATTTGGACACAACAAAAACTGTATAATACAAGAGAATCTTGAAGTGAATTCAATCAATGTTAGCAAGGTCTTATAACTTTACGGGTTTTACAAAGCCTCCATAGCCCATTTACCAGCCATACATTATTACAAATGGTCCAATTAGGCCAATAACAAAAATATATAATCTGTTGATTTTATGTGTTAAAAAAATTACTTTTAACTTTTTATTTATTTTATTTTTTTATCGACACACTCTTCTTTTCACAAAATTATACCCCCTCTATTATTTTAGCGTCTCTTTGAAATTTAACACATATGTCAACATAAAACTTTGATAAACAATATATATATATATATATATATATATATATATATATATATATATATATATATATATATATATATATATATATATATATACATAAAACTTTGATAAACAATATCTTATATATATATATAGTTCACAAACATTGGTCGTAGTAGACCAAGTGTATATAGTGCAACTAACAAAAACAGAAAATGATAACAAATGTGAAAAAAGAATAATAGATAGTTTCTACTCTCTTTTTGTTTCTAACATTTTACAAAAATATAAATACTAATACTAATAATTATTATTGTTATTATTATACTTATAATTATAATAATAATTATTATTGTTATTATTATACTTATAATTATAATAATAATACAAAATATGCCCACAAATAAGTACACTCTTTAAAATGGATATGCAGGGCAACGCTCGAGGCACGTACTAGTTATATATATTTAAGATCAAAATAGTTAATTAACAAATTTATCAAATATGACTGTATCAATTATTATGAGACAGAGCATAGAGGGGTTATGAAACAAAGGAAGTACAATATCAGTACACCACTCGAACGATCTCAAAATCTAGGGTCCGTTTGGTAGGGTGTAAAACATTTTTCAACGTAAAATGGTTTTCGATGAAAATCATTTTACAATGGAAAACTCATTTTCAAAAAAGTTTTCCGTTGTTTGGTTGAATGGAAAATGATTTTCCACTTTAAGCATTTTCCATTGTTTGGTTGAACTGAAAATTCAATTGTGAGGGAATATGTTTTCCCTCCACTTATGATGGAAAATGTTTTCCCTCCACTTGTGATGGAAAATGTTTTCCTTCTAAATTGAGGGGGAAATGTTTTCAATAAGGTGGAAAATGATTTTTCACCCCAAGTTTTACATTTTAATGTTTTATACCAAACCAAACAATGTAAAATGGGAAAACACTTTTCAGTGAAAATGTTTTACGCCCTACCAAACGGAGCCCTAATGTGGTACAATGGATGCTACACATCTGGACCACAAACATCAAACCCCATCAATGTAGCACACTTTGAACCAATTTTCACAATGGGCATTAAACAACCCAAAAGCAAGTTAAGCCCATCATCAGTGCAACTCGAAAGTCCATCTTCTTGACGTAAACAACCCGTTTCTAATTTTCATCAATGCCATATTGTCATGCTTTTGCTCATCAATTCTACATTAACACCCCCTTTTCTTGGAACTCCCAAAAAAACCCATCTTTCATCATTTTCTCAAACAAATCCAAAAATTCACAATCTTCAAATCAATCTACCCATAATAAGTTGAATTGAAGATCAAAATTGATGGGGTTGGGAAAATGGGGAGTGGGCATTGTTGCAGTAGTAGCAATAGTGGCAGGAAGAGAATTAAACAAGCAATATGGGTGGGATAAAGATGGATTAATGGAGGTTTTTAAGAAATTATCAGATCAATTAGGAATTTGGGCAATTCCAGCTTATGTGGGTGTTCATACTCTTACATTGTCTCTTTGTTTACCTTCTGCTGTGTTTTTTGAAGCTGGGGCTTCTCTTCTTTTTGGGTTTCTTCCTGCTGTTTTTTGTGTTTTTTCTGCTAAGATTTTTGCTGCTTCTCTCTCCTTCTGGATTGGCAGGTACCCATTTCTTAATTTTCTCTAAATTGGTTTATTTTAATTTCTATTACTAGTATATAATCGTGAATTTAGTTTTTCTGCCATTGTTGGGTTTTGTTTATATGTGAAAATTGAATTTTTTTGAGATATTGTAGCTGTTTAATGTGATAGTGACTATGGTGGATTGGTGGAGATTGGAGAATGATAATTATTGGCATTGATTAGGTAGCATTGGTGTAAAATGTTCAAGTATTGTTGGAAATGTTTTTGTTGGTTGATGAGATGTCTTATTGCAGTGTGTTATATTGTTGTGATTTCTACCATTGGATTTTGTGTGGATGTAGACTAGCTCAGATGTTAAACTTTTACGTCTTGAGGGTAGTCTCCGACTTGAGATTGAATCTTGTCTACATTACTGCCCTTTGTGGCTCCCCTTTTCCGTTTTGGATTTTGTGTGCAAATTGAGGCTTTTTAGTGGTTTTGTTTGGTATATCACAGAAAATTTAAATTCACAAGAAGTAGTAGTTGCTAGAAAGTGTTAAAATTGTTGGATTAAATTGCAGGAAGGGTTGTTCACTTGTTCCAGAAATAAACAACTAATAGTCATTTATACTAGTTTGTGATGCTCTGGAAACAATACTCATTTCCAAATTTCCAAAAGTAGTAATGGTTACAGTTTGAACCATATCCTCATTTAAATAGAGTAATGGAGTGAGGGTGGGAAGGACAACTTGATGTTCACTTTTTCCCCCCTAATGCGCTGTTGGTGTGTCAACATTAAGTAATATCATACTTTGAACTCCACACGTCGATCTTCACAATGTCACTATAGGGCCATATGATGCAAACTGTTGGCTTAAATCTCCATAACCTTTTCAAGATAGTGAGTTGAGGGCAGAGGATTATTGATTACTCTTCTATTTACTGTTTCATGGATATACAAATTGGTTTGCTTGATTAAATCTTGCTACTTTAGCAGTATATCCACTTTAGTTTGCAGCTGAAATGTAACCTTTTTGGGTGTGCTTCATCTTCTTCTCAGCTGCAACGAATGGAAGCCTTTATTTGAAAATAGTTGAAGTCATAACTTATGTAGCTACGGTTGCTGAGACACTGAAGAAATGTGTTTGTTGTGTCATTGAGTGTACATATATACATAGGGATTGTGCTCAGTTATAGAGAACCATCTTTTGTTACTGTCTTTATGGCCATGATAATGGAAGAAGTCGTGACTAATAATTTGATGGGACTCTCTCTCTCTCTCTCTTGTCATCATCTTATTTGATTTTTGTTCGTGTATCTTATAGATGTGAATATTTTTGCTTTACTATTGATGCTAATAAGTTTTAACATTTATCTACTATTATCAATACTAATAGATTTGTAACATTATTTTATTTGTTTATAATTGTAGGCTTATCTTCAAGAGTTCAAGTTCTGCGATGCATTGGGTGCAAAGTAACAAGCATTTTCATGTACTCGCTAGAGGCGTAGAACAAGATGGTTGGAAATTTGTTCTTCTTGCCAGGTTTTCTCCTGTCCCCTCTTATGTCATCAATTATGCTCTGGCTGCTACTAAGGTCAGATTTTTTGTGGATTTTCTGCTTCCTACTATTATTGGCTGCATGCCGATGATTATACAAAATACGTCTATTGGAAGTCTTGCTAGTGCTGCTGTGGCTTCAGCGTCTGGTTCTCAAAAATCTCAGATTTGGTCATACGTTTTCCCACTTATTGGGATAATGTCCAGCATTCTTATATCTTTCAGGATTAGAACATATAGTAACAATATTTCTGTTGAATCTTCTGTAATTGAAAATAACAATTCTGAAAATAGTGCCGACTCATCTCAACTATTAACCAGTCACAAGACAGACGAGAATGTGAAGAAAAGGCGATAATGTCTTTCTTCTCTTATTTTCCTTTTATTTGGATCTTCCTACATTAGACAGGTTACAGATTTGTAGTATTACAGATTTTCTGTTTTATTAACTATTCTCTTTTAATGGAAAAAGCCAATTTTAAGAGAGATGAATGTTCTGTTTATTATTATTTTTCTACTTTTATTACATTACATATTGAAGCCATAGATTTACTGCTCATGAATTTACTTGGAACTCAGACATTCTAACAAGGACCCTTGGTCTTCCCTCCCGTCACTTTTACTTCCTTATGAACCACTTTATGCTCGTCTTTCTTCCAATGGACTGAGGTTTCTGGTATGTGCAAAGAGCCCTCTTCAGCATCTTGACCACCTTCACTTGGTTTGACTTCCAGCGTGAAAGTTATCTTTGGAACACTATCTGTGAGTTCTGGTAGTGCCTGCTTTATGTGTGAGAGTAGTTTATCCACCATTTGCCTCCCAAAATCCTCCCTGACCACAACTCGGAGGATTGTTATATGCTCAATGTCAGCAGGCATTGTGTATGCTGGGACAATCCATCCATGGTGCCTTAGGGCTTTTGACAGTTCAAATGCTAGGCTTTTGCTCTCATCTTTAAAGGCAAAGGCCACTAGTGGTATTCCTTGGTCTTTTGAGACAATGTCAAACCGCCCCATTTTTTCCAATCCTTTTCGGAGTGTTTTGGCATTTTCTATGCAATTTTCAATGACATGCTTGTACCCCTATTTAAGAGAAGAGCCAGGTTGTTATAAAGAAAATGTATCTTCATATTTGTGCAGTAACTATAATCAGACACTATGTACTCATGCAGATTAAAATATAAAACTATCAAACAAACATCTCTCAAGTGAATAAGGAGTATGAAGGTAACTTATAGTATGTTTTTGGACCTGGCATTTAACTGCACTAAAAAATCTGGCTTGTTTGGGTTATTTTATTCTCAGTTGTACTTTATTCACAAATTTAGCAGGTTGTGGATTGCCTTAATTTATTTTAGATTTCATATATGTTCAAAACGTGTTACTTTGGGGTTCTGATGTTCTCATTTAGTCTTTGTGATATTCGTTTATGCAATCTGTGTAAGTTCCTGCTGCTGATTGTGGTTAAAATATACTTTGTAGTTCTTTCCAGTAAATCTTGTTCAGATTCTACTACTGTCAGGCTAGAAGATTACAAGAAACATACCTCAAACCCCAGCCTTAGGAACTGATAATACTGTGCCACTATTTGACTTGCCCCTGCATGTCAGCAAGTCATGTAAGGAGGTTAGTACAGAATTCTACCTCTCTTCCACCCCCTCCCCCTCTCCCCCGAAAGCAAATAGAGTTGTATAAGTTTTGTGCATTACCTTTGGAGAAGTTAAGGGTGAATGTAGGCTGATCAGTGCCAAGGTAGTTAATGTGGAAGACAAGCTCTTCCGGGAGGTCTTCTTTGCTCCTCCAGATAACCCACCCAACTCCGGCATAAACCAGGCCATACTTATGCCCGCTCACATTTATACTCTTCACCAATGGTAGTCTAAAGTCCCACTTGAGATCTGGGTATGCAAATGGAGCCACAAATCCCCCACTTGCTGCATCTACATGTATCGGAGTGTTCCACCTGCATTTTTAGGAGTTGATTAGCGCCTTAGCGGAGAAGAGAGGAGATGAGGAGAAAGAATAATATCTGATTCTTAGAATGCACAGAAGGTAGTACAGGGTTGTACATATACAGACTAGTGTTGGCCAGTTCTGGCCAAAGTATCAGGTTGTGCTACATTTCAGTTCAAAAAATTGCATCTGAGCCCAGTACATGCGTACTTGGGCAGAGCCACGTTTGATCGGTCACAGTTTGGCCAGCAACGTGCTGCTTACAGACATACAGTAGGGGCGGGATGATTTGAACCTTGAACTTGGGTACCTACATTCTTGGTCTAAAATAGAAACTTACCCTGTTTTCTTGTTTTTTTTAGCAAGAAGGTCGTTCAAAAGCTTGACATCTTCAAACTCGCCATTAAGTGTAGATCCTAGAATGGCAGCCACACATATTGTGTTCTCATCCACCAATTCTACAGCTTTTGCTGGGTCCATCACGTAGCACTTTTCTGTTAGCTTCACCTCTTTCAGCTCCACATCAAAGTACCTTGCAAACTTTTCCCAGCATACCTGCAAGATAGTAAGGGCGAGATCTAGAAAGTTGGTAACATTTCTTCCAGACAGCCAGACAGTGTAGCAACAGGATCGAAAACAGGGGAAATAATCTACCTGAACATTGGCACCAGTAACGATGTTTGGTCTGTCAAAGGGCTTCCCTTCAGCCTTTCTCTTGTTCTGCCATTTCTTCTTGAAAGCTAATCCAGCCAACATTATTGCTTCAGATGATCCCACTGTTGCCACTCCTACTGCTACACCATGTTCACCTTTTACCGACGGTGCATGAAACAATCGTGCGATCATATTGACACACCTATTCTGGAGATTCAGGGAAGTTGAAAGTTTCTTTATGTTAGATTGACGTAAAATACAAGTATTAAACACTAAAAAGACAGTGAGTTAACCTGGAGCTCAGTGCTGACAGGATACTCGTCCATGTCGACGTAGTTCTTGTTGATGGCTTCAGACATAAGCTTATCACATTCAGGTTCCATCCAAGTCGTCACAAAGGATGCCAAGTTCAGCCGTGGGTTTCCGTCTAGCATAAGCTCATCATGTATTATTTGGTAAGCCACATCTTTTGGTATAGTCTTCTTTGGCATCCTATACCTTCAATTACCAATCACAACACTTAATAATTAATCACAACCTAACGAACCCCCTTATAAAATATTCTTGCGGAGTAAAAACAAGTCACACATTATTCTAACACCCTATATAGTTCAAGACTCTATAGTAACACTACGAGTATGTGACTATTAATTATGTACCACGGGAGTAATCCTTCTAATTCGGGTGCATATTTATCTTTCTCTACCATATCTACATCATGCAATATAGGAAAAGTAGTATATTTAACAAATTTAAATGTTATGTACTTACTTTGGAAGGGGTTCATGGGCATATCTTGAAGCAAAAACCGGGCTAATTACATGTTCTTCTATTTCTTCTAGGGTTTGGACGTGTGACAAAGCCATCTTTTTATTTGATTTCACAAAATTCAACCAAGAAAAATGATGAAATAAGACTTATGGTTCAACAGTAGTTATGGAATGAATTTATAGTAACAAGTAATTGAGCAAATTAAAAAGAGAATGGGAATTAGATTCCTTTGGTTACCCTTGCTTGATGAATTCCTTTTACTTGATGCTATCTTGGAATTCCTTGCAATGAACAATTACTACTAATTAGAGTACTAAATATTGTTTTTTCTCTAGAATTTGAAATTGTCTTAGAGTTGCAAGAAGTTTCCATGGCCCTCGTGGGTGTAATTATATATATAATCTTTGATTAGTGATAACAAGTAAGGAATATGGGATTATTGTTGCTAAAGTTGGTTCTAGTCTAATCAATTAATCGATCTATTGTCGATTAACAAATGATTTTACTGTGCAAGCATGATATTGACACATGCTTCTTCCATTCTTTTTCCAATTACAACATATTCCTATTTATCCTATTCAAGAAGTTGCAAATTGTAACCTTTGTAACATTGCCTCCTTACTTTCTTGGCCAATGATTCTTTCCTTTTTATCTTTTTTATTGCACGAGTTCCATTTATTTTCCTTCCTCATCTCTCCTAAAAATTATGAATTCTACAACGTGGTATTTATAAAAATCGAGGGAAGCACTTTATAACTTTCATAGTATAAGTTATTAGGTAAGTTGTAAGTAGATGTTGGATATCATCCATCATTACAAAGATCTCCTAAAGTCTTAATGACCGTCATTCGAAAGACATGTTTTATAAACTAAAGGACTATGTAACTTAACTTATTTCATTCAAGCTTGATCCTAATTCAATCATGGGTAATTCACTTGAGTTCATGTCCATGAAGACTCTTTCATTACACCTTTAGTAAGTTCCTTTAACCAAGCCCTTGCCAATCAATGAGTTGCCGAGTCATTCTTTAGCATGCATGTGGTCTGAAGTTAGGGTTTCATCCCCTTCTCACCATGGGAGCTTACAATTTCTCACTTTTTCCCCTTTCCTCATGGTATTACTTCAACATCAATCACCCAAGAGTATTAACCTTTTAAAATGAATAGATGATCCTTGTTATTTAATTTTAGCGGTCGAGTAATGAGTAGCTGTTAAGGTAGCGAGTAGCTATCAATTAATAGTGGGTAGAGATTAGCTGTTAAAGTAACGATTGATAGTATGAGTGTTTGACAAAAGTAGCAGTTTTAATACTAAAATATATCAAAATTCATATAAATATTATTTAAAAAGTAATAAAAATTTGCCAAACGCTACCCGCTACTTCTAAACGCTACTATTTTTAACGTTCGAGAAAAACTATCTAAACGCTACCTCTGTCGCTAACCGCTACCAGAACCGCTACCTTGCCAAACACTCTCAAATTTTTTCTAGTAGTGTTTTGAGTGGTCAAAACGTTAAATGTTACCTCAAACGCTACCACCAAATAGAACCATTGTTTGAATTCAAATTCCCTTAACCCAAAAATAGGCCACTTTAATAATTACCCACCAAATAAATTTCAATGTTGTCATCAAATTCAATTTCTCTTTCCTCTCACTTTCTCCTCTGTTACAAGTTACAACCATGGCCTACCATCACCATCATCAGTACTCTACTGAAAGTTGACTGAGTCAGCACTACTCCGTACTATGTATCATGGGTTGTAACAGCCAATTAGCCATAACCTACTCTATTAATCGGACCAATACCCCATTTCCAAAGTAATCACGGCTATTTCGAACCACCCATCTAAAACATACTCAAAACCCAGGTGAAGGTGGTTCGAACCACGGACTTGGTGGTGGTTTGAGGCGGCGGAATAGGTGGGTCCGGTGGCTGATGGCGGATCTTGGTGGGTTGGGGCGGCGGCATTGGTGGGGTCGGTTTTTATAATTATATATTCTGCAGAAAATTATTATATACGTCATAGTACAATAATACAATATTCCTTTTGAAAATTTATAATTATACTTATTATAGTAGTATACTATAAAGGGAGGAGAGAGAAAGAGAAGGGAAGATCAAAAAATGGATACTGAACAAGATGAGAGATTGCTCTTGGAACATGGCCTTTTACAGGTTTTTACTTGTTTTTTATGCTTAATTATTATTTTTAATCTATTTTTGAGATTGAAGTTTTTTAAGTTTTAATTGGTTGCTTATCTTTTTCTAGTTAGTTTGATTACCATTTTTATTTTGATTACTCTGACACTTGAAATATTGAAATTAGGATGATCAATGGTTGAAACCTTGATTTATCATTGAAATATTATAAATTCCAGTACGAGGACTCGAGGAGGCATGCTTCGATGTAGGAAATTTTATTGGTAGGCAATACATGATGCATGGTTTTGATAGAGCTCAGTCTTACTGTAATTTGAACTGCAGTTTGCAATTTGCATATTCCCGGGCATGTTCTGCTCACCTTGTTTTCGCTTATTTCAGGTCTAATAAGTTCAGTTCAGAAAAAATAAATTTTGATTAGAGTTTCTCAAGTTCAAATTACAACTAAAATAAATTTTAATAAGGTCTAATAAGTTCAGGAGATAAGGGCATCATTATTGATGTTGGGTATCTATATTGATGAGATCCATGAGGTTTTGCATAATAGTCCTGGTTTTTGAGTTTCAATATTTGCCCTTTGTTTTCCCATTGATTTCTGTGCTATAGTAATCATTTTGGTACTTCTGACTTTTACTGTGTCCTTTGAAGGAAAATGGTGAGCAATATACTGGAGATGGCTCAGTTGATCTAAAAGGGAATCCTGTTCTCAAAAGCAAAACTGGAAACTGGAGAGCCTGCCCATTTATTCTTGGTAAATGATTAACATGAGAATGTTGCTTTTTTATGTTTCGTATGATTAATTTGTAGTGTTAACATTTGTAACCTTTCTTATTCTCTATATAGGCACAGAATGTTGTGAGCGTCTTGCTTACTACGGTATTGCCATTAACCTTGTTAATTACCTGACCTACAAACTGCATCAAGGAAATGTATCTGCTGCAAGGAATGTAACAACATGGTCAGGAACTTGTTTCCTAACTCCAGTTATTGGAGCTCTCGTAGCAGATGCATACTTGGGGAGATATTGGACTATTGCTCTATTCTCAACGATTTACTTCATTGTAATTTGTGGATATTCCTTTATTTATGCTCCTTCCTTTCTAATTTGACCTTTTATTTTGACTACAGTTGCATCAAAAAATTCCATTCCACGTCTAATTAATTTAATTGAATATGTCAATATGCTATCTGTCTATTTATATCTCTTTCGATTTACAAATCACCCTAGATATATTAACCTTTTGCAATTCTGGTTACCTTTTCAACTTTACAGTTAACATGGCTGTCTTTGATAATTTTTATCTAGCAGCATCTTGTTACACTGACATATCTTGTAATTTTACCAAACTGAGTTCTTGAAGCTTCTAACCTGCTCAAATCAAGCACTGAAGACAATTTACTTGTTGAGTTTGTATAATTGTCAGTCTTTGGCTGATGGACCAGTGCTACAAATACTCTGTTTCATTTGTTTGCCTGGCCTTTACATTATAGCAGTTTACTGTGATTGTGGTCATTTTTTTGCTCCGACTTGAATTACCTAATTCTTTAGTTTGACATATGCTAGTTCAGTAGTTCTTCTCTACTATTTATTGCATAGCTCCAAAATCATCGGAGCAGTTACTGATGATAGAAAATGACATGCATATAGATCCTCTGACATTTTTAAATGCTGGTAGCTTGTATTCTGAGTGGATCTTTTACTTTCATAAATCATGGTAAAATATTATAATTTATTGCTTAATGGTTTACATTAATACATTATGTCGGGTATTGCAATCTTGTAGCATGTGGATGAATACTCTTGGAGCTGATGTTCTTATATTCCTTGAAAACGTGTTTTACATCATGATAATAAATACTGTAACAGCCTTATCCAGTTTGAATGAAAATTTCCCTGACATCTGTTCTATTCTTGTCATGATATATTTTGGTTATATTCTGTAGGGAATGTGTACCTTGACTCTGTCTGCATCAGTTCCTGCATTACAGCCTCCTGAGTGTATAGATTCATTTTGCCCTTCAGCTACTCCAGCTCAGTCCGGAGTATTCTTTTTGGGACTCTATCTAATTGCATTGGGAACTGGAGGGATTAAGCCATGTGTATCGTCATTTGGTGCTGATCAGTTTGATGACACTGACCCCAATGAGAGGGTGAAGAAGGGATCCTTTTTCAACTGGTTTTATTTCTCTATCAACCTTGGTGCCTTGGTATCAAGTACATTTATTGTTTGGATGCAAGAAAATGTTGGATGGGGCCTAGGCTTTGGCCTTTCAGCAATATTCATGGGAATTGCTATTGCCAGTTTCTTTTCTGGAACCCCCCTTTATAGGTTTCAAAGACCTGGGGGAAGCCCGTTAACAAGAATGTGTCAGGTTGTTATTGCATCATTACGTAAGTGCAAATCAGAGGTCCCCCAAGATAGTAGTCTCCTGTATGAGACTCAAGACAAACATTCAGCTATCGAGGGAAGTCGAAAACTGGAGCATACTGATGAACTGAAGTAATTTTCTTGTCTGTATCTTTTGCATTGCTTAAATTCTATATCACTTTTTCCAGTATGTGACTGATGAATAATATAGAGAGAAGAATACTTGTTATGTTTTTATTGTGGTTGATGAGTTTGTTCTGCAGATGCCTGGATAAAGCAGCTGTGTTGTCGGATGCTGACATGAAAAGTGGGGATTTCTCCAACCCATGGAGATTGTGCACCGTAACACAGGTGGAAGAACTGAAGATTTTGATCCGTATGTTCCCTATATGGGCAACCGGAATTGTTTTTGCTGCTGTCTTTGCCCAGGCAACATTGTTTGTTGAGCAGGGAATGGTGATGGACCGAAGGATTGGATCCTTCATCCTCCCTGCTGCCTCGTTAACTACTTTTGATATCATCAGCGTCTTATTCTGGGTCCCGGTATATGATAGAGTGTTGGTTCCTACAGCTAGGAAGTTTACTGGCCAAGAACGTGGGTTTTCAAAACTTCAGAGAATGGGCATTGGCCTCTTCATTTCTATCCTTGGCATGGTTGCTGCTGCTGCAGTGGAGAACAGACGTTTGCATATTGCTAAGGAACTAGGTCTGGTCGATGAAAATGTTGCAGTCCCTATTAGCATACTTTGGCAAGTACCACAATACTTATTGGTGGGGGCTGCAGAGGTGTTCACCTTTATAGGGCAATATGAGTTTTTCTATGATCAGTCACCCGATGCCATGCGAAGTTTGTGTAGTGCACTTTCGCTCCTGACAATTTCATTTGGGAATTACTTGAGCTCAGCGATTCTGACAATTTTGAATGTCATTACAACTGCTGGAGGAAACCCGGGATGGATACCGGATAATCTAAACAACGGTCACCTCGATTATTACTTCTGGCTCTTGGCTGGACTTAGTTTCTTGAACCTGTTGGTGTATGTTTTCTGTTCTCTGAAGTACAAACAGAAGAAGGCCTCCTAAGGAAGCTGCTCCTACTGGTGGTGTTAGTGTACAACAATGAATTGATGCTTTTGCTTTAAGCAAAGCGCTGTATTGTAGTTAGACACAACCTGTCTATTCTTATAATACTTCAGAGCTAATTAAACTATTACTGTATGCTTCTTTTTCATATGATTAATGTTCATGTGATTAATGTTCTTATAACTTAGATTTATGCAGGGTTACATGCTTAAACTCTTCATATAATTTCAACCCTATCATGTTTTCATGGACACTAATTTTGGTAACTCAAAATATTGACACTTCTTGCTACTAATGCACTAAAATCGTGTTCTGTGTATGAGGGTGCTAAAAGTGGAGGCAGCCTCGGTTTCTTAATATGAGAAACATGTCATGTATCTCAAAATGACATAAGTGTAAATAAACTGAACTTTATTAATATTTTATTATTTATTGTTGTACTTTTTTTTTTTCATCTTCTTTCATCATCTTCTTGCTCAGATCATCCAATCTACCTCCATCTTCTTCCTCAATCCCAAATCACGACCCACAAACCTCCACCTCCACGGTTACACCTCCATCTTCTTCCTCAATCCTCAATCCCAAACCACAACCCACAAACTTCCACCTCCATCTTCGTCCTCAAGCTTTCCTCTCGTGAACCACTGAACCACCACTTTCACCATCGTAATTCCGGCGGTTTTGCCGCCAAATTAAACGAAATCCCTAAGAAATAATGGAGAAATTTATGACATGGCTAATCCCAAAGGCTATGAATGTTATCCTCCTCCATTAAAGCCGATTGCCGTGTTCAATTTCACCATTGAAATACATGCTTCTCCATTAAAGCTCTTCTACTTTGCTAATACAGTTTCTCCATTTATTAGACAAGTTTACAATTTTAACCCAATTTATTGGCTGAAATGACAAATTTACCCCTTTGAAATACATAATATGTTTCTCATGTTGAGAAACTTGAGTTTTCTCCTAAAAGTGAGAGGGTAATATAATATCAAGTGGACATTGGTATAGTAGACAAAGTATGTGACATTTGAACATAAAGTTATAAACCTTGCAAACCATTGGTAATAGTTATTCGAGTATGTCTTATTTTTGTGTTTCATAAATATTACTCCCTATTTGTAATAGTTATTCATTTTACACACTTTTTTCCAACTTTCATTCAAATGATTATTTTGCTATGCTCTTTTTCCTTTCAATGAATCTTATCTTAATTCATGTAAGCCGACACTAAATCATTTTGAGACTACGGCATTGTTGCTGCTGTTCATGTCAAATCCATTCAAGCTCGAGTCTCTCTCGAGTTGGGTTGATTTTGGATTGGATCACAAATCTATCAATTAATGTATAAGTTTTTCAAAGTCTAGCTACGATTTTAATTGTAGAGGTTTGTCACTTTACCTACTCTATAACGCTTTAGAGCACTACCGGCAGTGAGGAAAAAAGCCCTCACGAGTAAAAGATAAGGTGTAAAAAAAAAAACCACAAGCCACATCAATGAGAGGAAATCCTCTCATGGCTGAGGAGAAGAGGAAACGCTCATCAGATGAGGGGTTTTAAAGATGAACAGTAATGGAGTGGGACCCGCAATAAACTGACGCAAGCCCACTTGTATTTCTGAGAAAGTTGGCAAAACGCGTCATTTAGCCCAAGCTAAGGCCAAAACGACGCTGTTTTGGAACTTAAATCAGCAAAAAAAAATTAAAAGCTGACAACTGACGCGTGTCAGCCCAGCGAATAAGGATGCGACACGCGTCCTTGCCTTGAAAACCAACCAATCAGAAAATTACCCATTTTTGCAACGGTAATATATTTAAAAATGTAAATAAAGCTGTTTAAAATAAAAATAAAATAAAAATAAAAAAAAAAAAAATTCACCAACGACCATAAAAAATTTTCCTCTATAAATAGACATCCATTTTGATGTATTTTGATATACTTTCAAAAACCCAAAAAATCTCTTATATTCACTAATTTCCCAAACCTCAATTCTTCTTCTTCTTATTATTATTATTAATCACGGTTTTGCTTAAAAAAAAAATACTGTCGAAGATAATTATACTTATCATTATTATTATCATTATTATTATTATTATTATTGTTGTTGTTGTTGTTGTTGTTGTTATTATTATTATTATTATTATTATTATTATTATTATTGTTGTTGTTGTTGTTGTTGTTGTTGTTATTATTGTTATTATTATTATTATTGTTGTTGTTATTATTATTATTATTGCTGTTGTTGCTATTTTTATTTTCTGAAAATATAATAGAGTTATTTATTTTTTAGTAATTGTTGAATTTCTTACTAATTATTGTTTAAAGCTTTATTACTTTACTACTTTATCAACTTATGGATCCTAACAACCCTAATTTTTCGAATCATTTCTCTGATTTAGGTGATGATTTTGTCACTAATCCTCGATTTCAGCTTTTCTTACAAAGGCTTGGAAACACTTCTTTTCAAAATTCACCACATCAAACACCTCATCAAACTCCTTTCGAAAACACTACCTATGAACCACATTCACCTCCTGTTTATCAAGGGACCCATTCTCAATTTGATGATGAAATGGAAGAACCTGTTCCAGACACTCCTCAATACTCTCCACATCCTCGAGAAGTGTCTTTGAATCAAAACCAACCACTTACAAAAGCAAGTCGAATGTGGTCTGTTGGGAGGATGAAGCTCTAATTGGTTTGTATCTTCAATTCAGTGAAGATGCAATTGTTGGTACAAACCAAAAAGCAGCTGCGCTATGGCGAAAAATATCTGCGGCTTATGATCAAGCGCATTATGAGAAACCCCACATCCTACCGCCAAGACCTTTGAGGAGTTTGGAAAGCCGTTGGAGAAGGATGGCAACTGATTTAATACAATGGAGTAGTTGCTATGACGAAACTGGAAGGGCAACTGGCAGTGGTTACAACGAAGCAGACCGCATTCATAATGCGAGTAAGTTATTCTATATTTCCTCCAAGCCTACTCCACTTAATTTTAATTGTCACCATGGTTGGGAAATGGTTAAAAATGACCCTAAGTGGAGGACAAAGCTGAGATGGGCGTTGTCAAGAGAGGAAAGATTAGCTTGTGGTGATGCTGTCGAAGATGACAGTAGTGGAAGTGAAAAGCGGTGTAGAACTGAAGATGAAGATGATGTTCCCAATACCGGTTTCATTTCTGGGGGTCTTCCTCGACCTGATGACGCTAAAAAGGCAAAGTCTAGGCGTAATAAGGGAAAAGGAGTGGCTTTTGAAGTCTCTAACATTAATGAGCAAATGCAGCAGAATAATGCAAGTAGGGAAATTGAGGCACAAATGCGATTGAAGAAGTTGGATTTCGACATGGAAAGGGAAAGAAGGAAGCAAAAACAAGTAGAGCTTCACCAAAAACAAGTCGAAATTCAAGAGAGAAGGCTCAACTATGAAATGCTGCAAGATCTAATGGCAAAGGGACCGGACCTAACTCCCGATGAAGAGGCTTACAAGGAAGAATTACGTGCACTACTCTACGGTAGAAGGAACATGTAATAATAATCAGCTTAATGTGTTTGCTACTGTTTTATTTGATTAATGTTCAATGTAGTCTTTTTTATTTTAATTAATGTTAAGATGTACTCCTTTTTATTTACAGTAATGTGAAATGATGTTTGTTTTTATATATTATTAATTATGCAGTAAATTATTTACTTTATTAAATTTGTTTTGAATAATAATCACATGTACTAGTTAATGACAAATTTACATCCCAATAAAATCTTCACAACTTTATGTTGAAGAGTCATATCAACTGAACACAAGTAATGATATAATTACGTAGATCATTGAAGAGTCAAATCAACTGTCGAAGCGTCATAGACCACATGCATCAATATTTCAATTGCAATTCAGAGTGCAATGACACATCAATTTCATTGCAGAGATTGCATTGAAGTGTCATGTGGACTTTATATACATGCATGACACATCAATTTCATTGCAGATATTGCAATGATACATGGATTTCAATTCAGAGTTACTCACATGCAAAATCAGAGCAAATCACATGCATTGATAGTCACTTGAACTATATATACATGCATGTGTTATTCTAAACGGACAGAATCCCGAACAAACCAACTATTAAACCATAGCCAAAACATGTCTTTCATTTCCTCCACCTCAAGCTCTAGTTCTTCTGATTTCTCAAATAACGTTGAATTTGATCGGTTAGTTGATGATTATGCTGCTAACCACCTACCACATATTTTAATTCCCCAAGACTCACCACAAGAATTCCAGCTTAATAATGATATAGCAAATGTCCCGGAGCCTAAAAGGGATAGGGAAAGAGAAAAAGGGCATGTGCAACTGTATAACGATTATTTTGCGAGTAACGCAGTGTATAACGACAACCAATTCCGCCGTAGATTTCGCATGCAAAGATCTTTGTTCTGTCGCATTATGAATAAGGTGGTTGAAGGGGATCAATTCTTCCAACAACGTCGGAATGCAGCTGGAAAGCTTGGTTTATCACCGTTGCAGAAATGCACCGCTGCAATAAGAATGTTAGCATATGGCGTAGCCCCTGATGTCGTGGATGAATATCTTTTTATAGGTCAAACAACCTCAAGGAATGCATTGCAACATTTCTGTCAGGGAGTTATTACACATTTTGAAAGTGAATATCTACGTAAACCTACAGATGAAGATCTAAGGAGACTCCTTCACCAAAATGAATTGCGTGGGTTTCCAGGCATGGTTGGTAGTATAGATTGCATGCATTGGGAGTGGAAGAATTGTCCTACAGCTTGGAAAGCACAATATGCTGGTCGTAGCAAAACTGCAACCCTCATTCTTGAAGCCGTTGCTGATCAAGATTTATGGATTTGGCATGCGTTCTTTGGAATGCCTGGCTCATGTAATGATCTTAATGTCCTTTACCGTTCACCGGTGTTTGATGATGTTTTACAAGGTCGTGCACCACCAATAAATTTTTGGGTTAACGGACATCAATATAAGTTGGCCTACTACTTGGCAGATGGGATTTACCCGAGATGGCCAACTTTTATACAAGGTATAACACATCCTCAAGTTCAAAAAGACAAGTTGTTTGCTGATCAACAAGCAGCAGTTCGGAAAGACGTTGAACGGGCTTTCGGAGTTTTACAAGCCAGGTTTGCTATACTCCGACAACCAGCACTTGCATACGACGAAGATATTCTTTGTGACATTATCAAAGCCTGTATAATAATGCACAACATGATCGTCGAGGATGAACGACACAACTACACCCGTGCAGATGTTTTAAGACGATACTACGAAGAAGATGGACCACAACGTACAGCAGCGCGGCCGGGACCGAGCACAAGTGCCACGGTGAATAACAACGAGCCATTTGAATTCAACGTCGGGCGGCCACCCAACATTGATTTCAACGCGTACTTTCAAAGGAGGATTGCACTTCGTGATAGAGAAATTCATTCATCTCTCAAACAAGATTTAGTAGAGCACATATGGCAGAACTTTCGTCATAACACGGCCGAATAAGCAAATTTGTAGTTTGTAATCGTATCGTTTTTAGGTTTTAATACCCGTGTTCGTGTAATACTTCAGGTCAAACCGCTTTTTTTTAAGTTTGTAACCGTACTGTTTTTTAATATCCGATGTATTTGTATTGCCGTTTATGTGTTCATTTCAAAAATGTGCTTCTAATTAATCGTTTAAGTTAAAAAAAACATCTTTCGTAGAATCTATAATTGTTGTTATTTGCTTTAGTTTTTATATTCTAATTAAAACGTTAAATAAAAAATTACATTGTAAATGGTATATTCAGAAATTTTAACCGTAATTAATAGAATAAAAAGAAAATTTTTTTTAAAAAAATTATTACATTATAATTAAAACGTAATTATAAAAATAAAATAAAATATATTTTTAATTGTATTGAAAAGTTACATATATAGTATAAACATTATTAAAAAAAAAAGAGTTAAAAAAATGGTGATGTGTATTATGGTGGGGTATAGTAAATAGTGGAGGATAAAGTGATGAGGGGTTTTTTTTTAGCATTGGTGTAGTAAAAAAAACCTCTCATGAGAGGAATTGGATGGGAAGAGTGAGAAAGTGGGTAGAGAGAGATTGAGGGGTTTGTTTTCTCCTCACTGCTGATAGTGGTATTACAACATTGGAAATGTTACCTACTTCTTACTTTATCGTCATTATTGTTTTTCATAATTTATCCGTTTTATAATTATAGATATTTTAATAAAAAAAATAGTTCATCATATAATTTCCTCCTTTAACGCCATTATTGTTATTTAAAGCAAATCAAATTTTATTCAAATCGGTTTATCTTATGCATTAACAAAAATACACCCGCCGTTATAAATCTTGATAAGATATTTGTACACAAATTTTCTATATTTACCATAAATACCCATTAGGCCATTACCCAATTAGGGGTGAACAAGGTCTGGTTTGGTGCGGTTTGAGTCCAAACCAAACCTAACCGTAAAATATGATTTGATCAATTTTTCAAACCAAACCAAACCATATTAGTATTGAAACGGACCTTACGATGGTGCGGTTTGGTTTGCGGTTTATGATGAAACGTCATTTTTCTCTAAAAATTGCCAAATAATACATCATTAACTTATAATAAATTTTAAATAATTAGCCCAAACGGATTAAATTGTATTACAATTTTACAATAATAATAACAATCCAAGTGCTAACACATAATACAATAACAATCAATTTATCATCATAAATTCATAATACATTATAGTCATTATTATAATTTATACATATGTCTAATTGGCAGCAACATGACAAGATTGATAACTTAAGGGGCTGACAGCAGGCCAGCAGTATTACCATATGTCCAAGCACTCATCCAACAGCAACATATTTTTATTTGCCTACTGACCGTATAGTCGTATACTCGTATACCCTGTTGTATTTTGATTTTTTATATTTTGATTGTTTTTCTTTAATATATAATAATTATATTAATTTATTTAAAAATTATATAAATATTAAAATGCGGTTTACTAGTTTACGGGTTGGTTTTGGTTTATAATTTTTGAAAAACCAAACCAAACCGTAAACCGTATTTACAAAAAATAAAAACCAAACCGTAAACCGTATTTACAAAAAATAAAAACCAAACCATAAACCAAACCAAACCGCTAAAATGCGGTCTGGTCACGGTCCAGACCAAAGTGTATACAGCCCCCAATAAATCCTTTTCGAAGATGCAAGTTTTCAACTTAAGATTCCCTTCAACCGAAATGAATCTTTTCTCTATCTATCTCAACTCCTTGAATTTGACAAAACTTGTCATTTTGGAAATTTAAGTTATCCAAAGGAAAAAAAAAAATCAATATAAATTAAAAAAAGGTCCAAAACTATAGTATAAAGAGTGGAGAGAGAAAGAATAAGGGTGAGAAAAACTGCAGGAAAGAGAAGTCAAGATCAAAATTCAGAACATGGGTAGTCAAGAAGATGAGAGATTGCTCTTAGAACACGAACATGGCATTTTACAGGTTTTAATTCCTTATTTTTCCCTCAATTTTTATTTATTTATTTTCAAATTTGAGATTGTTGGAGCTAAAAGTTCCAATCTTTTCAGTTGATTTCTTATTTTGTATTGATAAATTGCTTATTTGATTGATTGTTTGATTACCCTTTTCAATTTGATTAAAAGGATTCAAAATCGGGATTTTTTTTTCTTTTTTTACTTTCTAATATAGGATTATTAGTTGACATATATTGACAATTGCGTGTTCTGTGCTTATAGTAGTGTGGTTTACGTTAGCTGTTGAGATCTAGAAATCATTGATTTTTGATTGATTAAGACTTAAGAGTGTAATTTTAGGGTTTTGATTGGAATTGAAATTTGAATTTATTATTAAAAAGATTTCAAGGTGATTATGAAATGACTATATATGTTGATCAAATGGAAAATGAGGATAAGATACTCGAAGCATGATAAACTGTAGGGTTTCTCTTTTAAATTGTTATTGGATACTGGCTTAGTGAAAAATCTGACTGTAGTTCATGTTTTACAAGTTGTAACAAGTATTGTGTTGAATAACTTGATTCTGCAAATTTGCATCATTGATTAGTTGCTAATCAGTTGAATAAATTGTTATGAGTTTTATGATAATTAACTTCAGATTAAACTTAGTTTTTGAGGTATTAAGGATATTGCTACTCGTACTATATGATGCTTTGGTGAATGGTGAGGAGGCATAATTTGATGTAGGAAACTTTATATAGTCGATGCATGATGCATTGTTTTGATAGACCTCGGTCTAATTGTTCCTTGAATTAGACTTTGTTTTTACTGAAATGTGTCTTTGCAAGTTACACTTCTAGATGCTGCTGATGCATCGTCATTGACGTTTGGGGTGTCATAAATGTTGAGAACGTATATAACTCTACTGGTCCTTTGATTCTCCTTGATTGCTCTTTGTTTCTGAATTGGTTGCTGTGCTATAGAAATCCTTTTGCTACTTCTGACTTTTACTTTGTGCTGTCTGCAGGAGAATGGCGAACAATATACTGGAGATGGGTCAGTTGATCTCAAAGGGAATCCTGTCCTGAAGAGCAAAACTGGAAATTGGAGAGCCTGCCCCTTTATTCTTGGTATGTGCGGATGCTAGTTTTCATTTCTTTGGGAAGCCGGAGGGAGGGAATGGCTTTCATCCCGTGTGATTAAATCTGCAGTATTAACTTGTCTAACAATTTTTTTTTTCCTCTTTACAGGTACAGAATGCTGTGAGCGTCTTGCTTATTACGGTATTGCCACAAATCTTGTCAGTTATCTGACAAAAAAACTGCATCAGGGAAACGTCTCTGCTGCAAGGAATGTTACAACCTGGTCAGGAACTTGTTACCTAACGCCACTTATTGGAGCTGTCTTAGCTGATGCATATTTGGGAAGATATTGGACGATTGCTGTGTTCTCCACAATTTACTTCATTGTAATTTTGGATTCCTTTTCTTCTGCTCTTTCTTTCTACTTTCAGTTTCTTAAACTAAACTAAGATGGCATCCGTAAGACCGTAATTTACCCCCCCCCCCACACCAGTTCTCTCCCACTCATATTATACTAAATTTTTGTTCTCTTTTGTAGGGAATGTGTACCTTGACTTTATCTGCCTCAGTTTATGCATTAATGCCTCCTGAATGCCTAGGTTCATTTTGCCCTCCAGCTTCGCCAGCACAGTATGGAGTATTCTTTTTGGGCCTCTATCTAATTGCATTGGGGACTGGAGGGATTAAGCCATGTGTATCATCTTTTGGTGCTGATCAGTTTGATGATACCGACCCCAACGAGAGGGTGAAGAAAGGATCCTTTTTTAATTGGTTTTATTTCTCTATCAACATTGGTGCCTTAGTATCGAGTACACTTATTGTTTGGATGCAAGAGAATGCTGGATGGGGCCTAGGCTTTGGTGTTCCGGCAATATTCATGGGAATTGCTATTGCAAGTTTCTTTTCTGGAACTGCCCTCTATAGGTTTCAAAAACCTGGGGGAAGCCCATTGACAAGAATGTGTCAGGTTGTTGTTGCATCATTCCGTAAGTGCAAAGTAGAGGCCCCCCAAGATAGTAGTCTCCTGTTTGAAACTCAGGACAAACATTCAGCTATCGAGGGAAGTCGAAAGCTGGAGCATACTGAAGAACTAAAGTAATTTTTCTTGTTTTTTGTTACTTTTAGATTGTTGTATCTAATGTATCCTGATTTTTCATTATGATCATCCAACTAATCTGAGAGGAGAGAAGAACCCTTGTATTGATTTTATTGTTTGTTCTGCTTTTTCCGCAGGTGCCTGGATAAGGCTGCTGTGGTGTCGGATGCTGACATGAAAAGTGGGGATTTTTCTAACCCATGGAGATTGTGCACCGTAACACAGGTGGAAGAATTGAAGATCTTGATCCGTATGTTCCCTATATGGGCAACTGGAATAGTTTTTGCTGCTGTTTATGCCCAGATGTCAACAATGTTTGTTGAGCAGGGAACAGTGATGGACCGAAGAATTGGATCCTTCACCATACCAGCAGCAACATTATCCACTTTTGATGTCATCAGTGTTATATTCTGGGTCCCAATATATGATAGTTTTCTCGTTCCTATAGCTAGGAGGTTCACTGGCCAAGAAAGAGGGTTTTCAGAACTACAAAGAATGGGCATTGGCCTCTTCATCTCCATTCTTTCCATGGTAGCTGCTGCTGTAGTGGAGATCAGACGTTTGCAGATTGCCAGGGAACTGGGTTTGGTCAATGAAGATGTTCCAGTCCCAATGAATATCTTTTGGCAAGTACCGCAATACTTCTTGGTAGGGGGAGCAGAGGTATTTACTTTCGTAGGGCAATTGGAATTCTTCTATGACCAGTCACCTGATGCAATGCGAAGTTTGTGTAGTGCACTTTCTCTCCTCACAACATCACTCGGTAATTACTTGAGCTCATTGATTCTGACAATTGTGACAGCCATCACAACTGCTGGAGGAAACCCAGGATGGATACCAGATAATCTTAACCAGGGTCACCTCGATAATTTCTTCTGGCTCTTGGCTGGACTGAGTTTCTTAAACATGGTGGTGTATATTTTCTGCTCTCTGAAGTACAAACAGAAGATGGCTTCCTAGGGAAGCTTGCTAGCCTGCTGCTACTGCTGGTGTTAGTTTACAATGAAATTCTGATGCTTCAGCTGAAATTGAAGGGCTGTATCATAGTTAGATAGGAACCCCTTTTTTTCACTTGTAACAACTTCAGGAAAATCAAAGTACTCGTATGTTTCTTTCTCACATGAATATAATTTTTTCTTTGCTTTTGTATTGGATTTATTTAATTAATGAACCACAGTTTCTGTGATGGAAATTATAAGCCGTTCATGTTTACCTCCTGTTTCAATGTGGTAAATCCTGCTTATTTAACCCTATTGTGAAACCCTGTTCATACATTTCTGATGTGGCCATTACAGCCTGATATGTTGAATTGTTGAACAATACTACTGTAATCTACTACTAGAAATTGCTATGATCTTAGTAGGAAGCTTTAAAAGGATGCCCATTACTCCATTACATTGCGCGATTGTACTACGTACATGGTACACGGTACACCCACACTTAATATTTTGTTCATTTACGCGCGAATGTAAAATAAAAATTACAGTAAATATTGATAACTTTGTTTTTTAATACCATGAAAAGACGTGGTTTTGTAACTTTCAAACATTTAGGTCTTGTTTGGCAATTGGCTGTTGGTTGTTGGCTGTTGATTGTATTACTTGGCTGGTGTGGCCAGCTGTTTGTATTGGCTTTTTATGTTGGTTGTTTGATTATTGGCTGTAAATAAATATGTTTGGTAAAGTTGGTTGTTGGCTGTTGGTTGTTTTATATAAAAATGGCTTTTAAGGACATTATCATTGTTGTTGTTGTTGTTGTTGTTGTTGTTGTTGTTGTTGTTGTTGTTGTTGTTGTTGTTGTTATTGTTATTGTTATTAAGGGTGAGCAAAAATTCCGGGTACCCAGAATTGGAACCGGAACCGGTTAGGAACCAGTGGGTCCGAAATCAGAATTGGACCCGGTGGTTCCAATTCCAGGTGATAAATTAAGGACCCGATTGCAACCGGTTCCAATTCCAATTCTCAAATTTTTGGATCCGGAACCGGTTGGGTACCCGGTTACCCAACATATATTAATCTAAATACATTTAAAAAAACAAAAAATATGTTGAACCTATTTAGTTAGTAAAATTAAAAAATATTATTAATACCTAACATAAATAAAATAGCTTAATGCATATATATTATATACTTATAAGTATTTAACGCTAAAAATGAAAATGTACCAAAATAAGTATTATAATTTGTATTATATTTTAACAATTATATACATAGGTAGGTATCCGAAACCGGAACCGGTACCTGGTGGTTCCAATTCCAATTCCTAAATTTTAGGACCCGGTTGAACCAATTCCAAGTCCAGTTCCGAATTTTAGGACCCGGTCCCAACCAATTCCGGGTCCGGTTCCTAAAATTTTGATCGGGTATCTGGTTTGTTACCCCTAACTGTTATTGTTATTGTTAATAATAATAATAATAATAATAATTATTATTATTATTATTATTATTATTATTATTATTATTAACTTTTTTTCATTAATAATTATTTATTAATTATCATTAGTTATTAATAGTTAAGTATTATTATTAATAAATAAAATTAGTTATTAATAGTTAAGTATCATTATTAATTATAAATTATTATAATTATCAATTATTAATTATTATAATTGTTAATTATTAATTATTAATTATTAATGATTGATTCTTAATTCCTAATTCCTAATTATTTATGGATTCCTAAGACATGAGTGGAACACTACTTAGCTCAATGATTAGTGTAACTTTGATGTTGTCAAACGTCATGCCGTAAAAGGAGACTATAAAGACAGCACTCGGTTTGTGCTAAAAGTTGAGTGTCAGTTTTGGTTGCCACAAGATTGAATAGGTCCTCCTATGTTAGATAGGATGGGTATCTTAGCCTCTTGAAGAGTAAGAATTGAAAATACATCACCGTGTTCAAATGGATCATAAGATGATCATTTGTTTAGCAGTTCAAACTCGGATTTCAAGAAATAATTTGAAGGCTAGTATGGATAACATAGAGATGTAATCATACTATCAAATTAGACACTAAGAGACTTAAGGAATTTGAATATTGCACACTTGTCTCAGACAAGTGGGAGATTGAAGGAAATGTGTCCTCGACTCTAATGCAATTACTAAATATAATTTGGATCGTATAATGGAGATAATAATTCGTTTATTTGGGTCGTCTATACGTCTTGCTAGATAATGCTATAGAACTTTGGGTTAGTGAGAAATAAACTTGAAACCCACCTAAACGGATCCTACAAGGTCACACATTAGGTTTGGATCAATAATGAAACCCAAAGCCCAAAGTGGACCTTAGGTTAGCCGGCCAAGAAGTGAAAAGGGGAGAGGAAAACTCAACCTAATTTTTTTTTAATCTAATGGAATTATATTAATTAGAGGTTTTAGAAAATAAAATATACAGTATTCAGTTTTTTAAAACAACGTAATATTTTTTCCTCTCAAAATTCTCTCTCTAAACCGGTTCTCTACTCCAAGAAAGGTGAAAGATTTTCCCAACTAGCATTGGTAGAGCATTGATTCAACCCGGTGGACCGAATAGAGGAGTCACACTTGAGGGTCTTTATCTCCCGTAGAGAAGAAGATTGCTAAGAGGATCCACGCTTCAAAGGTTAATTCTAAACTATCATGTGATCCTTTAATTTTATATGCATGAGTTCTTGTTTAGGTGACTATGAATATGATTTATGAAATTCGGGTTAGAGTATCTAAAACCTTATATAAAAGTCCAATATTGCTGGAATAAAAATGGACACAGTATCCCAATATCATTATTAAAAAATAAACACACGGCACGATAACAAATGATTATTGACGAAAATTTATTTACATTAATGATAAAATCGCTTGAAGTTCCTCTCAAAAAAATTAAAATAAGCATCCTAGTGAAAATAATAATAATAATAATAATAATAATAAATAAATTAAAAAAATAATTAAAAAAAAAAAAAAAACCGAAGGGTAGAAGAAAAAGGTCAGGAGTTGCAGTTGCAGAAAAAGGGAAGAAAGGGCATGCATAGTACAGATGATCATCGATTGCTTCTAGAAGATTCTCATCTACAGGTCTCTCTTCTTAATTTCTAGATTGTTTTTATAATTATTTGTTCTGTAGCAATATAATCTATTTACTGGAATTTATTGAACTTCTAAAATTGCTGATTTTCTTCGAATTCTGTATTATCTATGCTATTGTGTTATCTGTGAATTGAACATTTGCTGCTATTATAGTAATTGACCCTTTTTGAAAATTTATAAATTCGTTGCAATTTTGTCTTTTAATCACAAAAATTTGCCGAATTTGACCATAAATTGTCAGAATTTTATGGGGTTTTATATTGTTAAAGTAGCTTGATTTATCACAAAAGATACATTTTATCAGAATACATGTGTATAATTTTACACTGATATAATTGGAGCTGTTAAATCAGGTGTCAAGGCTGGTTCTTGTTGGGTTAAGTCATATCAAATTTAGGTCATTTTGGGTGACCTTGGGTCTGTGTGTCTATACAGTTTGATTTCGGATTTGGGTCACTTCGGGTTTGGTCGGTTTGTTCTCGGGTTGGTCAATTTTTGAAAGCTCTAGAACTAGAAAACTATGGTCGAATTTGACAATGTTTAGCAGAAAAAAATAATTGTAGGGATTGGTATAGTATTTACTATTTAGACATGTATACCTATACTTTATTTTGTTTATAGCGTATAATCCACCTTGAATCTCACATTCCCTTTGATATAGGACTTAATAGAGGCCTCTAATATTCCTTAAAGTATTGTATTAGAAGTTACTTGTATATCTCTGGCTTCATTTAGTTTTGGTAATAAAATTCTGGGAATATGTGTGAATCTGCCAATAGTAAACAATTCACTGATAGCCATTTCAATATGTACTGTATTATTTGAAGTCTAAGGTTGGTTCTCTAGTGTGTCCTCATAAAGAAAGGAGCCTGATTGCATGAAGTTTATAAAGCATCATAAGGATTAAGGAGTATTTTGTTTTAAAGTTTCTGTATGATTATTATGATTTTTATTGTTGCTCATCTTCTTTCGGTTTATAGTTTATACCTGTGGAAAGTAAGTATTGGCAAAAAAAATCTAAGAAAACAATACATATAACTGTAAAACCAATGTATTAGGTTGTGATGTTTGTACATGTAACTGCCAGAAAGGTTGCTAGTCTAAGTCTTGCAATCAAGATTTTTGTCTGTTACCCAATATGCTACTCATGTTTATCAATGTTTTCTATGATTTTCTAATTACCTTTATTAGTCAAAACCTACATATTAGCAAAACTGTCCTTCATTACTCCGCACTAGTTTCTCTCCTATAGAACTTGAATGGATCCTTGCCTGATTCTGATTTATATTTTATATGCTCAGAAAGAAAACAGCAAACAATATGCTGGAGATGGGTCTGTGGATCTTCAAGGGAATCCTGTTTTAAAGAGCAAAACTGGAAACTGGAGAACCTGCCCTTTTATACTTGGTATGCTAGTTTACCTTTTTCAATACAGTATCATGTTTGCTGATAAGTCTCAATACCACAATTTTACTTGCAGGTACTGAATGCTGTGAACGTCTTGCTTACTATGGTATCGCAAAAAATCTTGTCACTTATCTGAGTGGAAAATTGCATGAAGGAAATGTCATTGCTGCAAGAAATGTTAACACTTGGGCAGGCACGTGTTACCTTACACCTCTTCTAGGAGCTTTCTTGGCTGATGCATACTGGGGAAGATATTGGACTATTGCTGTCTTCTCCACAATTTACTTTATTGTAATTTCAGAATCCTTTTTGTTTTTCTCATCCTCTTACAATTTTAAACGATGGCATCTAGAATACCAGCCATATTTGGTGTTTTGGTTTTACTTAGTTGAGTATGCTGTGTGGGTTGATATTTCATTTACTAAATTTTGATTTTACTCTTTTTCTTCTGTAGATTTCTCCTGTATTTATATTCTAAGTGATGTGGGCTTGTTTCTTTTTCTTACAAAATGTAGGGAATGTGTACATTGGTCCTATCTGCATCAGTCCCTGCCTTTAAGCCTGCTGATTGTGTGGGTTTGATCTGCCCTTCAGCAAGTCCAGCACAAAATGGCGTATTTTTTGTAGGACTTTATCTGATTGCATTAGGAACAGGAGGGATTAAGCCTTGTGTTTCATCTTTTGGTGCTGATCAGTTTGATGATACTGACCCTAGTGAGAGGGTAAAGAAGGGATCATTTTTCAACTGGTTTTATTTCTTTATCAACATTGGCTCACTTGTATCAAGTACTCTTATAGTATGGATACAAGAAAATGTTGGATGGGACATAGGCTTTGGAATCCCTGCACTATTTATGGGTGTTGCTATTGCAAGTTTCTTCTCTGGAACTTCTCTGTACAGGTTTCAAAGACCCGGGGGAACTCCGTTGACAAGGATGTGCCAGGTTGTAGTTGCATCACTTCACAAGCGTGAGCTGGAAGTTCCACAAGATAGTGCTCTCTTGTATGAAACCCCAGACAAGCTTTCAGCAATTGGAGGAAGTCGAAAGCTGGAGCACACTCAAGACATGAAGTAACGTTCGCATCTCTTGTTTTCAACTCTTTTGTCAATATACTTCTTATTTTGGCTCATTGTATATGTGAAAGATCAATACCATATTGGGTGCTATTGCTGCAGATGCCTTGATAAAGCAGCAGTCTTATCAGATTCTGATGTACAAAGTGAGGAATCGTACGATCAATGGAGATTGTGTACTGTCACGCAAGTGGAAGAATTGAAACTCTTGATCCGCATGTTCCCTATATGGGCAACAGGAATTGTATTTTCTGCTGTTTATGCGCAGATGGCAACACTGTTTATTGAACAAGGAATGGTTATGGACAGAGGAATTGGAACCTTCACCATTCCAGCAGCTTCCCTTTCTACTTTCGATGTCATCAGTGTCATCTTTTGGGTGCCAGTCTATGATAAGTTTCTGATTCCTGGAGTTAGGAAGCTTACTGGCAATGAAAAAGGGTTTTCTAATCTACAGAGGATGGGTATCGGTCTCTTTATATCTATCCTTGCCATGGTATCCGCAGCCTTGGTGGAGATCAAGCATTTGCAACTTGCAGAAGAGCTAGGTTTGGTCAATGAGCATGTTCCCGTCCCACTTAGCATCTTCTGGCAAATACCCCAGTTTTTCTTAGTGGGTGCTGCAGAGGTATTTACTTTCATAGGGCAGCTCGAGTTCTTCAATGACCAATCACCCGATGCAATGCGAAGTTTATGTAGTGCCCTCTCTCTTCTAACTACATCATTGGGAAATTACTTGAGCTCTCTGATTCTAATGATTGTGACAGTCATTACTACTGCTGATGGGAAGCCCGGATGGATTCCTGATAACCTAAATAAGGGTCGTCTTTATAACTTTTTCTGGCTCTTGGCCGGTCTCAGCTTCTTGAATTTGTTGGTGTATGTACTCTGTGCCATGAAATATAAACAGAAGAACACTTCGTAGGAGTCCCACTGAACGGTATTAACTACAATGATATTATTTCAGCCTTTCCAGCGTTGCTGCTATTGTTACTGAATATGTTTTATATCTGATGGCAAATGTTCTGTAATATTATAGTTCGGTTGAATCATGTTGTATATACCATGTATGCAATAGTATGATCTTCTTGACATGTATAGCTAGCGTATCGAATGTATAGTGAATGACTGAATGTATATATTTCTTTCTGTGATGTGGTTGAGTCACAAGGTTGGTCTCTTGTTAATGTGAATGAATATCTAGTTAGTAAGGATGAATGGAAGTTTGTAATCAAATTTGGGCGCACAAGGTACTTATCATCTAGCTTTTCATTATTCCATATTTGTTACGTATAACAATAATTCATCCATTTCTCAATTAGGGGTGTGGGTCGGGGTTGTCAAGTTGCTTTCTCACCTCCATGTTAAAACAAATCCAATCAAATTATTATGTAAAACGTTTAGGTTCCAATTTTAGAGCACTCATATAGTCATATACGTAAGTGTTATCATGACTTTTTGATTTACCATTGGGTAATTCCGTATTAAAAAAATTCTAGACCTTTAAACCTACTCACATAAATCACTTCGCTTTCGCCCGGGTACCCTTTTGGGAAGGGGAGAAGGGGATACTTCAACTTGACCCTTAGTTTTCGTCTTTTGTTAACCCTTCTTTTGGTCTTTTCTCTCTTTTGGTAAGAAGATTATACATTTTATTCTAAATGAAAGTTGCTAAAGCTAAACGCAAAAAACTGTGCAATTATCATGCCGTTTTCAATCCACACATTTTTTCATCTTTTGGACTGTATTTTAATGGGTCATTTTAGATTTTAATGTTAAATATCATGCAAGTCAATGCCACAAATTGCTCCACACGTCATATCATGACTTTATGTTATTTGTCATTTAATGAATATAAGCTACTATAACTTTCAAATATTAATGTTTCATGTATTATAGTACTCGTAATTAATTATTATTTATTAATAATAATACTGTAGAATTTGAGAACGTCAATGTTTTTTTAAGTAATTTAAACTCAAACTATGGTGGATACAACTTTGAAGGCCAAGTGGATTAAGAAAGTAATTACAAGGTTTAGAGAGAGAAAGAAGACATTAGCAGATTGTTTAAGAAATGGGTACTCTTGATGATCAGCTACTTCTTCTGGAAGATGCACTTCTTCAGGTATTTACTTTACTCTTTGATTTACCTCTTTCTTTGTTGAATTTCCATGCTTGGTTAGTTGTTAGTTGTTTGATTATGTCTTAAAATTGTTGTTTGTTCGGAAATCGGAGTTTTAAATGTAGTTGTTGTTCTAGTACTTGTTTATGTAATATGTAGCACGGAAACGGCTCGGGTTTTGGTAACGGGTAGACCTCAAGTCCGAGCCATTTCCAGGGTTGAAATTTTTGCTTAGATATTATGGATTAGATATGGGGGATAAAGATATGGTTTTTGCAGTATCCAAGATAATTTATTCTTATAAAAATAAAGTATTCTTGTTGTTTTCTTTATTCACTGTGATTACTACTCCCTCCGTCCTTAATTGTTTGTCCCTAAGCCATTAATTACTTTGTTATTTTTTGGTTGAGTGGAGTTGATGGATACGAGGCAAAAGTGGTCGAGCCAATTGTATTGTATGTGAGAATAAAGTTTTGGACCCCATGGTCAAAAACGGAAATGGGGCTATTTTTAGGGGACGGTCTTAGATGGAATATTGAGTTCTGACTACCTCAAGTTCAAGAAGATAGATACTCTTGATAATCAGCTACTGCTTTTGGAATATTGGTTTAGTTTCCGTAGGACTATTGAGTTCTGACTGGCTCGTGTTCATGCCAGGCAAAATCTTGCATGAGATGGCCTTGTCAACCCAAATCTCATATGCTGCCTGCATCCGATTATAAATTTTTTCAGCTGTATGGCTCATGTATAATGCAAAACCCGCTCTTATATTCCTTCATCAAGCTAAATGAGTCAGTGAGACATTTGACTTGTAGAATTCTTGAGTTTTGTTGTTTCAGCAAGAATGAATGCTGAAGTATGTATCAATCTTAATCCTGTTAGATTAAGTTATTAGTCCTTTGAAAAGTGTCAATCTAGTAGACAACTTGGACGGCCAAATTACTGAACTGGTAATCAGGACTTATTTATATTTGCTTCTTATGCCTGCTAGCCATTGACAATGGCAGCTTATAAGCTGAGATTTTTTTAAATATCTACTTTGTTCGAGTTGACACCAGTATCGACTCTTCTGAGATGTCCACTGTTTAGAGTCTTGGTAAAGCTTTGCTGATTTGAAGGACTACTTCTCTGCTCCTGATTTGTATATATATCTTTGTAGGAGGAGCATTGTAATTTAACCACTGGAGATGGCTCACTAGATTTTTCAGGGAAGCCTGTCCTCAAGAGCAAAACTGGAAATTGGAGAGCCTGCATCTTCATTCTTGGTGTGTTGGACTGCAGAATGCTAGTCTTTGTGCAACATTAAATATTTTTTCACGAATTCCCTAATCACAAGTCCTAACCGTTTAACTCTCCCCTGCCTCCTTTTCCCTTCTGTGCACAGGTAATGAGGTCTGTGAACGTCTTGCCTTCTATGGTGTCAATACAAACCTGGTTAGCTATCTCACCAAAAAATTGCATGAAGGAAATGTCTCCGCTGCAAAGATGGTCTCCACCTGGTCAGGCACATGTTATGTAACACCTCTTATTGGAGCTTTCTTGGCTGATGCATATTGGGGAAAATATTGGACGATTGCTGTGTTCTCCATGATTCATTTCCTCGTAATTTCTTGATTTTTTCTTGTCCCACTCTGCTTTTTCTGCATGTTAGACTAAAACTGATGAGATCATTGAATATTTTTGATCAATTTTATCCTATTGACTGCTATAGTGCTATGTGCATTTGCTATCATGCATCGTAGTGACAGTACCAAATTACAATGATACCCCCTTCGTCCCTAAAGTAGGCTTAACATCTTTTTGGCAGATATCAAGGAGAAGGGGTCGGTGAGGGGCCCAATCTTAAGGAAAAAATAGATAGGAAAATCTTAATGAATCGGAATGCTAACTTCTTTGTGGAATTTCAGAAACTACAAGATGTTAACTTCTTTTAGGGGTGGAGGGGTAAAGACACATCCAACCCCCTCCCCTTCCTTATATCTCTATTAAGTCCCTCTATCTGATGACATACTGTTCTTATGTTTGTAGGGGATGTCTACTCTGACCCTATCTGCATCAGTTCCGATGTTTAAGCCTGCTGAATGTGAGGGTTTCATTTGCCCTTCAGCTACCCCATCACAGTATGCAATATTATATGCAGGGCTTTATTTAGTTTCACTGGGAATGGGTGGGATTAAGCCATGTATCTCTTCGTTTGGTGCTGATCAGTTTGATGATACGGACCCTAGTGAGAGGTTACAGAAGGCATCTTTTTTCAATTGGTTTTATTTTGCTATCAGCATTGGTTGCCTTATGGCAAGTACTGTAATTGTTTGGATACAAGAAAATGTCGGATGGGGCATAGGGTTCGGAATTCCTGCCTTATTCATGGTTGTTTCTATTGTGTTTTTCTTTTGCGGAACTCCACTCTACCGGTTTCAAAGTCCAGGTGGTAGTCCATTAACAAGGATATGCCAGGTTGTAGTTGCATCAATGTTGAAATTCGAGTTGGAGGTTCCACAAGATAGTAGTCTTCTGTATGAGACCTCAGACACACATTCAGCAATTGAAGGAAGTCGAAAGCTGAAGCACACTGAAGAAATGAAGTAATTTTCTCATCACTTGCATCTTTTAGCTTTCTTATTATTTATGTATCACCAATTTACATTTACGGTCTAACAAATCTTAAAAGTTATAGAGAAATTATAGATAAGCTCTGAATTGTCTGATTCAAAGGTCTCTTTCCCCTCTTGCTCTTGTATATGTGTATATCTGTAGTATGTACTGTGTGTTTAAACATACCGAGCATCCCTGCAGGTTCCTGGATAAAGCAGCTTGTTTGTCAGCTACTGAAATGAAAACGGAGGACTTCTCCAACAGTTGGAGATTGTGTACAGTAACACAGGTCGAAGAACTAAAGGTCTTGATCCATATGGTCCCTATTTGGGCAACTGCAATTGTCTTTTCAGCAGTGTATGAACAAATGTCGACTACTTTCATCGAGCAAGGAATGGTCATGGACAGAGCAGTAGGATCCTTTACAATCCCAGCAGCCTCTCTGGCAACTTTCAGTATAATGAGCATCATTTTTTGGGTCCCTTTTTACGACAAGATATTTGTACCTGTAGCCAGGAAGTTTTCAGGCAAACCAAAGGGTTTCTCCGAGCTGCAAAGAATGGGTATCGGCCAAGTCATCTCCATTTTCTGCATGCTAGCTGCCGGTTTAGTTGAGATCAGACGTCTAGCAGGGCCAGTTAGCATCTTCTGGCAAATCCCTCAATACTTCCTGATGGGGGCTGCAGAGATATTCTTCTACATCGGGAAGATGGAGTTCTTCTATGATCAATCACCCGATGCCATGAGAAGTTTGTGTACTGCATTCTCACTTCTAACATCTTCATTGGGAAGTTACTTGAACTCGCTTGTCCTAACGATCGTGACAGCCATTACAACTTCTGGGGGGAAACCCGGGTGGATACCTGATAATCTAGACAAGGGTCAGCTTTATAATTATTTCTTTCTATGGGCTGTTTTTAGCTTGTTGAACCTGTTGGTGTACTTCTTCTGTGCCATGAAGTATAAACAGAAAAGGGCTTCATAGGAATTCTGCATATAGTGATTGTGAAGCAGTAAATAGTCAATTATGTTGCAAATTTGTGATGCTAAAAACTCTCAAATTTTCAAATTTCAGCAAGTTTTTAATTTCTGAGTGAATCAAAATGATTGGTGGTGAGACTGGTAACCCTCAAAAAAAAATGCCTGAGATGAATTTTACAGAATATGTAAGTATTATTTATATTATCATTTTTATATTTGCTCCAAGTTGTCCTTTTCCCCTTTACCTTTAATTTCCAAGTACTTCCTGTAAGGTAACTATTCTATTAAAGCGCGGAAGTACTTCCTGCAAGGTAACTATTCTATTAAAGCGCGGATGAGGGCGAAAGTTTGACCATACAACAATGAATTTTAACGTTTTTTACATTTTGTTATTTTACTCAATAATTACTATGAGATCATTAACTTTTGGTCCAAATTAAACATTTGTTCGAATTTCCTTGCTTTCTTTAAAATGTTCATAGGGTCATTCTGCCTATCTTGATAATGCAATTTAAGTAGCATTCGAAAAAAAGATAGTGTGATTTATGTTAACAACTTCATGAATGACTAACCTCATATATAATGGAGGTATTTAAAATGTGAAAACTTTTGGATACTCGAAAATAGGCTACAAGGGTAACCCTTGGTTGAGATTGATCTTAGTTCCACAATTAAAATCATAGTAGATTTCACAATTTATATCAAAAACAATTGTATGTATAAAAAAATGTTTGTATATATATACATATCTACGTATATATTTGTACTATGAATTTTATTTGAAAAACAATGATTGGAGAGTATAAATGATGTATTGATGTGTTTGATGGTAAAATTGTACGAAGTATGTTAAATTAGTTTGAAAATTGTAATATAAGTAAAATCAAATAGCTTAAAAGTATAAATAGCATACAACTTTTTTTTATCAACACTCATAGGTTCCTACATTGGCACAATTTCAATTGCTATTCCGTATAATTTGTTGACATCGTAATAACTACTGTTATAGTAAATTAAAAACAATTATGGAGTAGTATAGTAATTTTGTAAAAAAAATAATTTTTAAAATTAAATAAAAATATGGTACTCATTAATTTTACCAGTAACATATTTTTAAAGGATAATACGAGTATGTAATATACTTGTATGAAGGAAAAAAAATACTACGGAGTATAAAGTATAAATCCCAAATGGAAATGGATAAAACTAGGAAAGAATCTTTTAAAAAAAAAAAAAAAAAACTAGGAAAGAAAGTTCTGGAAAGAGAAAGGATATTTTCTGTTTCTGAATGAATCCATTTTCGCGCCTATATATACCGCCACCACAACCGTCACCTGAATCCACACTCCCACCATTTCCTCATTCTTACAACTCAAACCCTTTTCTCTCTGTCTAGAAAACTTTCTCTCTCCTCCTTTGAAGCTCTCAACAATGGCGTCTCAATTTCAGGTCGTCATTATCCTCTTAGCAATTCTCACCTCTGTTTCACACATTTCCGCCATTGATACAACCTCCTCCACCTTCACATTCTCATCATCTTCCTCCTCACCTTCACCTTCTTCGCCGCCATTTCCGTTCTCCTCCTCCGAAGCTCTGAATCAACCTCAGTTTCTCTCTAATCTCACCACCATCACCAAAATCCTCAGCGATCTCGGCTTCCACGAGCTTGCAACAGCGTCACACTCGCTTTCTCTCTCCTCCGCCTCGCACCTCCCGTGGCTCGGCCCTATCACAATCTTCGCTCCGGTTGACTCCTCGGTTCGCGCCTGTCCTTCGTGCTCGCTCGCTCTGCTTCTGCAAGAGCACACCGTCTCAGGCTTGTACCCCAGCGATTACCTCAATCGCCTCATTTTCGGCACGAAAATAGAGACGATTCTCCCCGGCCGCTGCCTTACCGTCACCTCCGCCGCTAACGCCACCGCAATCTCCATCAGCGGCGCTCAGATCACTCGTCCAAACCTCTACATCGGCGACCACGTCATCATCCACGGCCTTCAAGGCTTCATCTCTCACGTCTCGCCGTACTCCTGCTCAATGGACAAGATGACGTCTCTCAATCTTCCTCATCCTTCCCCTGCCATGGCGCTCAACCGCGTGATGCTCGCGGAGGCGATGATCCGTCTCCGAGTGAGCGGTTACAGCGTCCTCGCACTTGCGATGCGTATCAAGTACGCTGAGCTTGTAACTCTACACAACATGACGATCTTCGCCGTCGACGACTCCACAATCTTCCACGGCGGCCACTCCTACGTTCACAGCATCAGATTCCACGTAATCCCTAACCAAATGCTAAAACTCGCCGACCTCGAATCTCTCCCGGTGTCGACGGTTTTTCCGACGCTAGAATCCGGCGAAACTCTCACAATCACCACCCCTGGCGGCGGCGGTGTGATGTCTCCGGTAAGAATCAACTACATCAAAATCAAGTACCCTAACCTAATCTACAATTCCAAGCTTGTTATTCATGGACTCGCTTCTCCTTTTCCTCACCTTCGTCAATCGATTGCTGTTAGTACTAGACGGTCAGGATCTAGTGTGGGAGATTCCACTTCTGTTGATGTGCGTCAATCTACTGAGCCTGCTGCTCCTTCTCCTGTGATGAAATCAGTTGTTGAGATGATTGATGATATTCATCAAGGTCTGTGATCTGTTCATCTTCTTAGTCCACTAAACTTGATGAATTAGGTCTATTTTCTGTTAATTGCTGTTTTAGCCTGATTTTAGGGTTACTAATAATCTTTGTTTTTAGTCTGAAATGAGTGTAAATATCGGATGTAATTTGATTTCTAGTTGAAGAAATCTGTTGTTAAATTTTGATAGAAATGAAGTTTTGTTTTGGTAGAATAATTTTTGTGCTCTGTTCTTAATTTTTTATCTTTGCATTTCTGTTAACTCTGTTTTAAGTATTGATTAGCAAATGGTTTAATGAAGCTTGACTAAATTTGAAAATAATGGAATTATGACATTTACAACAGAATTTGTGTGGTTTGTTAAGTTGTTATGAGCAAAGCAAATCATTGTGCCAAGGATAACAGATTCCCTAACTAACTAAAAAAGTGGGTAGTGAAAATCTGAAAATGCATGGTTAGTGGAACCTACTCTCAATACTGTATTAATTTAAGTAGAATTTTGATATTAAATATTATTGTTACTATTTGGTGTGCTAAATCCTAAATGGACCTTAAAGTTCTGTTATTTCCATAATATAAACATCTCGCTTGTTAATTAGTTCAAATTTGTTTGCGCAAATGCAAAAGGAGGCAAACGAAGTAGTGTATATGGTACCATTTTGACAAAAGTAGAGGCAAGTTCCTCATGTAAATTATGGAAGAGAAAGAATAGTTGGGAGGGTTAATAAATCAATTATGATACAAGTCGCCTTACTCAAGCCTTTTAAGAAAGTTAATCGTATTGAAATTAAATTCGATAACCTTTATGATTTCTATATATACTAAGAGAATATACTTAATTAATGTACTTCGTATGTTCTTTGTATTATGAAATTGATAAACAAGTTGCATACTATCTATAGCTTTTTTGTTCTTTCAAAAAAAAAAAAAAAAAAAAAAAATAACTATAGCTTTTTTGTTTTTGGGGTGGGGGGAGGGGGATTCTATCCATTGCAATCTCAATACGTTTTTATTATTGATTTATGATTGATCTTCAATCTTCATTTAATAGATTTGATATGAGAATTAACAACACATCTTTGGTTTTATCTTTAATCTAATTGTTATGCTAATGTTAATTGCCCTTGAAATTAGATGTGATACAAGTCACCTTATTCAAACCTTTTAAAAAAAATTAATCGTATTAAAATTAAATGTGATGACGGTTTTTTTGGGGATCCACTGGATTCTCAATCTACTTTTATAATTGATATTTTTTAAATAGATTTGATATGAGAATTTGTCACATATCTGGTAATCGTCATGCTAATGTTTTATTGTGCCTTGATGAAAGCATTCTATGATTGCCTTCTAGTATCAATGGTTTGCATTGGCTTTATCATGAAACACTTATTCATATTAATCTTTGATGATTTTGTCAAAGCATTATGAACCTCGTCGCACAAGAAAACGTGAGCTAGGTCTTCTCTCTATTATGTGAGACAAATTGTTATGGAATGATCAATCATCTAGATGGATGTTAAGTTGTCAACATTCTATTTACTCTCGTTTTTATGCCGATTAATTACTTCATTTCACGAGTTAAAATTTCACCCATAAATGTCAGTTATCCAAAAAGATAATAAACTTGTATATTGTTGCAGCACAAAATCGAAACATTCACAATAATGCTTTGAAAAATAGAAAAAAAAAACAAACAAAACAATCACAATAATGTCATTCGATAGACGCCCAACGTGTATACGGTGTATATATGATAATTTCGAATTGACTTATGTCATATGTAGCCATGTAGGCATAAGAAAAACGGGCCTGAACCGAACCCAACCCGAACCTAAGATTCAACACAATATGAAAGACGCCCACCATTAATATAGATGATAAACCCGGGCTGGCTTATATTATATGTAGGCATTTAATATCTTAACACACAATGATAGATGCCCAACTATTATATAGATGATAAACCTAGGCCGATTTGTTTCATATGTAAGCATTCACTTTCCAGCGTGTTTTTAGGTGGCTGGCCATATTGTGTGGCCGACTGACACACACTAAAACAATGACCGGATAACCCTGACTGACTTAGTAACTCCGACCACATGGTATGACCAGCCGCATATGAAACTTTGTGTTCACTTTTTAGCATGAAATATGAAAATAACATTGACTTTTAAGAATTTTATTTCCCAAAAAATAAAAATAAAAAATTTGATCTATTGGCATTGTTTCTCCGTATTTGCTTACACTCGGGTCTGTGGAAGCGAAACAAAGAAGCCGCAAGCTAAAGAGAAGAGAGAGAAAGAAAGAGGAGAGAGAAAATGGAGGTTCCAGGTTCATCGAAGAAGATGATTGCAACCCAACAAGAAATGGTGGAAAACAAGGTTCCAATCCCTTACAGAGATCAATGCGCACATCTTCTGATACCCCTCAACAAATGCAGACAATCCGAGTTTTACCTTCCCTGGAAGTGCGAAAATGAGCGCCATGTTTATGAGAAGTGTGAGTATGAACTCGTCATGGAACGTATGCTTCTTGCCCAGAAACTTCGCGAAGGCCAGAAGAATCAACAGGAACAATCCATCCCTCTTATTCCCAAAACTGCTAATGCTTAGCTCCATTTTCGATTCTTCTTCGTTTTCAATTGGGTATGTTTCTGATCGTCTTTTTGATTTTATTTTACTTTTTGTGATTTGATTGTTTTTGCTAAATTAGGGTTTTATTTTGCGTTTTATTTTTGATTTGATCGATTTGAGTTTTGGGTGGCTTTGTTAATTAGGTTAAATGTCTCATTTGATGTCAATTTAGGGTTTTGAATGTTGACGTATTTAATTATGCTAATTCTAGGGTTTTGTTGTGTTGATATGATCTGATTAGGTGTTTCTGGTAGCAAGATGAATTTTCAATGACTATTTTTTAGTTATTCTAAAATCTGCATTTCCGTTTGGTACAAGAGGATCGAATCGTATTGAATTACTTGTCAGTTGTCATTGAAATATGCATTTGCTTGGATGCTGTTATCCAGCCTCTGTTGATTTTCTTGATTTCGTAATAATTTGAATGATTTGATGGACCTAGAATTTGGCAGTGTTGTTAACTGAATCAAAATTTAGTTGAATTTGATATTCCCTTTCTGCACGGTTAATTGTCGCTTACATACCTATTAGTTTTGGATAGTTGAAGACAATTGAAAGCATGATGTATGGGAAACTATAGTACTTGGCGTTACCGATTTGAATTTGCCATATGTGTTGCATCTGGAGAAGCACATCAAAGCTCACTTCCAAACTGTCTCGTTCTTGTTTTAAGTTGGTATAATTGGGTGTGTTTCCAACCGTAGGGGAATAGGGGATGGGGAGAAGGAAAGGGAGGTGTGAAGAATGACAGTTTTTATGGATATCTGTTCGTGAAAATCTAGGCCAATCATGCCCGTGTAAAGTTGACAGATATGTCAAAGATCTGAATTCTGTAGCATCAATTGATGAAAAAGAAACATTATAGGTATAGCTTGGGGCTTTTGTTCGCTGAGAAGCTAAGTAACTCTACTAATGCATTTATATACCTCTTGTGCCCAGTCAAAAATGCCAGGGGAAAAGACAGAATAGAGCGGTGATAGGGAAGCTATGTTTCCCAGCCCAATGAAATTTGTTTAGTTTACAATTTGATGTCATTTACCTTAGGTACCTCTTCTTTAGCATTTTTTTTTAATTTTTCTTAACCTATGGAAATTATTAAGCTGCCAAAGGCCAAAGAAAGGAGGCAAATAGAAGGTGATGTGAGCTGAATCTTGCTGTGGGTAAATTGTAAATGTCTATAGAAATACTTTGTTGTGGAACCCTACAAACAAAATGGATGATGGAATTTTATCAAATTAGAAACAACAAATTTCTGGATGACTCATATCATTTTTTTTTTCTCACCAAATTCCAAGTAACAGCTCTTTTTCTACCTTTGTCCAATTAAAAAATAGGATTTGTGTCCAAAATGGGTGTGCCTTGTCAAATAGTAGAATTGGGGAACCAGAATGGTGCTATTTGTCATTTCTGTACAGTACTTCAGCGTTCATGTAGTGATGAGTATAATATATAGAGTGGATATGAAGGCCCTTGTTAAGAGTAGTTATGATTAAGGCTAGGAGCCTAGGATACTAGATGTTATTGACTGTGAAACTACATTATTTCTTTACCAGGCTAGGAAGGAAAAATTATCGGCTTTTCACCAATATGGACTTGAGATGCCTGGGGTATATATCTAGTGATATTGTGGGAAAATTACTTTATTTTTTCATGCTAGTTCTGCTTCATTCTTAAGTAAATTCTCTGTTACATTGTGACTTGTTGCGATGTCGTAGTAACTTGGGTGAAGTGAAGGAAGAAGGTTAATGCTTATATCATTCTTTGGAGTTAAGCCTTTTATTATGAAGTTGTGTAGTTTGATCAAGAGTTTTCGAAGTAGTTTCTAAAAGTAAGTAACTTCAAAGCAGCATTTTATATGTTAAAAAGCAAAAGTAATGCCTTGTCTACTTATGATATGCATGTGTCATCCCACGGAGTCCTCCTTTTATCAAGAATTGTTTTGGTTTGAACAAGAATTTCAAAGTTGCTACTATGGCAAACAAACAGTAAATATCTTGGACCATTTGGTTTGAGGGTGCCTTTCTACATTCGCTGGCAGTTAACTTTGAGAAGTTGAAGAGTCTGCTTATTGGCATAATTAATGGAGCTAAACTCCTAAACCATTGGCGAATGCTTTTTGGCAATCTTTGCATTCTTGCATTTGTGCCTTGTGTCTCGTCCTCATTTTGGGCAGATCTTTTCTTCTAAAATTTTAACTTGTTAGGTAGACATGACTGCAAGGAGAAAGCACATTTGTGTTTCTCATGACACACTTGCTCCTTGGTCAGCCCATTTTTCTGAAATAATCATTGGTTGGATTGGTGTGATGGGGCCTCTGATGACTAATTCAGTAATGTGCCCTAACTTAATGAAGTCAACTAGGATTCAATCAGTGAACTTTTTTATCTCTAGGTCAAATTAAATATAGTGAATAATATTAGTATCAAGTATAGTTTGTTATGTGCTAGATTTTGGCTAAACTTTGGCATTTAGTAAAATTTGGCATACGATGCAGTTTAAGCATTTTAGGTAGTAGCCGTTTGGCCATTAAAATTAACATTTATGATAGTTGTGCTATTATTTACATAGTGACATCTGAGGTTTTGCATGAGTATTAGAGAATTATTCTTTGGCTAATTGGCAATTAATCTTAATTATTGATTTTGTGGCTGATTGAACTAGTGCAGCCTTCCTCATTCTGAAAATTCTTACATGCACCTAGGTGCACCAGAGTTATGTGCACCCAAGTGGATTTTTTTTTTGCTGATTCCATGATTTGATATATTTTCCCATTTCTTTTTCTTTAAATGAGTAAAACATATCAAATGAGCAAAAAATTACCTATAGAGGACCTACCTCTATTTACACCTGGGTGCGTAAAAGAATCTTTCCTCAGTTTGCTTGACATATGATATGACCTGATTTAGCCTGAAATTTGGTTTAGTACTGTAGTGAACTCAGTATTATTGATCTGTTCATTTTTTGGGGGTGATTTAGTATTCAGTTGTGAATGGCTTTTTAGGAAATTTGATCAATTGCTTGACATAGTCTGATAATTGGTGGAGTATTGCAGTGTATTTATGTATTATTGATCTGTTCAATTTCAGGAGTGATTCAGTATTTAGAAAAGTTGTGAATGGTCTATTAGGAAAATTAATCATTTGCTTGACAGCAATTGATCTCTTTGGGATACAGCAGAATTGACATTCGGTGTCATGAAGAGAATGGAGGATTTACAGAATTGAACATGCCTATTAGCAGAATTGAGGAGTTGTAAAATTGGATATTTTGGTGCTGCCAGTTACCACATTTGGCATGTTTCTTTTGTGACAGTAATAGTCCCAACATTGGCATAGATTGTGTATCTGCATTATATTAGATGAAGCTAATGAGATGTGAGATGATTTTGCTCTGAGCTGAGATATTACTTTCTAATTATGTAACTCCAGTTGGAATTAGTTTAAGTTCTGATTTTGGATGGTACTTCACCATGTGCTCTTAGACTGCTCCTTGTCACTGGCAACTAGCAACACTTGTAATTAAGAGAGAGAGAGAGAGAGAGAGGGGGGGGGGGTTAATTGAAATCTCTTTAAGGACAAAGATGTATTCATCAAATTCCTTCATATAGTACATTCACCAAAGAATGTATCCTCCTTTGCCCTGCTCTGGTTTGTAGTCAACATTAGTTCTGTTTGCTTCATGCCTTTAAAATATCTGTTGTGTTTTCTGTAATGATTTGGAGTTAACATTAGTTTTAGCAACTGAGTTGCAGTGACATCCTTTTAGATCATTAATTTTGTATCCTTTCTTCCCCTGTTCTCAAATCTTCTTTCTTCAACAGTAGTCTGTGTTAGAAAACTTTTTGGATCGTTGAAGTTGGCCATTCTTATTGATATTAGAGATTGTTTATCCTTTTTGTGGTTTATTGCTTCAGTTCCATCCGAAGAACTATAATATGACTACATGCTGCAGATACAGCGGTAGCCTTGACCTTAGTTTTCTTTGAAGATACCTTTTGAACCACTACTTCTGTCCAAGATTAGTAGTCATGTATAGTTAACGGCGTCCTAAAAAGATGTCACATTACCTTAAATAGTGATGGTTTGTCTTTGATTTTTTATTACTCGTAGTATTATTATTTGCCCTTAAATAAAGTGATTAATAGAAGATTGAAATAACAAGACTCAGAGAGTTTTTTTAAGTAAAAAAGAAAATAGAAAGTTAGAAAAGATTATATCTTTAATTTATGAGATAAAAACGTGTCTACTTAAATCTAGATGGAAGAACATAATTTAGTGCACTAGTGACCTGATGCCTTGGTTGTTGCTTCAAGGCAGTAGCCCTTCTGGTCCATTTTTTCTTGACAAACAATTATTGTATCTTGTGTTGTCCATTACATTCTTAATTAAATACTTGATCTTCTTTGCAGGTTGCTGAGTTCACTTTGATCATCATGCATGGCCTTCTTGGTTTGTTGTACTGCTTGGAATTGTTATCGTACTGGATTTGATAATCATCGTGAAAGTACTTTTATTTTCTTTCAATCCATGTTACAATAAGTTCATGTTTAACATGGTTATTCAGAATTTTTTTGAGTTGTATTCTTCTCTGGTTATAGTAATCAGTTTCATGGAACAGATTTGCAGACTATTAATCTCTGCTTGACTGTTATTGTGTAGAAAAAATTCTCTAAGCGGTGCTCAATTGTTTGGGCATAGTAATAAATTTATTTTGACCAACTATAGAAGTCCAAAAATTTCTGTGGTAGGTGCGAGTTTGAAGTTTCTTCTTAAATTATCAGATCAGTTCCATGTTGGTGATGAGCTGCTGGCTATTAACATCATAGAGCATTCTTTAGTCTGAGATTTTTGTATTCTGTCTTTTCATAATCAAGAATGTAATTGGTTCCACAAATTGTCCTTCATACGAGTAATAGCTGTCTCTTTCGCTTTCTCACCCCGCCCCATTTAAGTAGCGCTGTAGCGGCACGTTTGTCCTTTGATGTGTAATCTCAGCTTGTTATCAAGTCAGTTCTCTCAACAGTTGTACTTTTGATGGAGAGGAAAATTCTCTATTTTCTATTCTTGTAAATTGGATAAACTGGTTTGACATATTTGGCCCTTATTGGTAGCCTAAACTCGTAAGAATGACCTGATCTTTCTCCAAATAGAGCTGCTTGACTACTTGAGTGTGTAGAGGCCTGTAAGAGGCGTGTTAAATTATACTTGTATGTGTTTATCTAGGTGGGTTTGTGGCGTCGAGCATATACATCTCATATATACCTCGGGTGTCAAATTTTGTAGTGTGGCACGATAACTACTTAAATAGTTAAATCAGTTATAGGACATGTGACTTATGCGCTCTTTTTGACTCCCGAGTTTACTAAGCCTAATAAGTTCCCCTCTATTCAAAAACAATTGTTAGGTCCGTAATGACAACTACGTTAACGGATATCAGATAGACTTACAAAACGTACGTTGTGGGTTGGAGCGTTCGAGTTGTTGCCTATCAGTAGACGGATAAACGACAAGCTGATTAGCATCAGCTAAATAGATACATGAAAAGGAAGCAGATCAAATGGATGGATGGATGGTAAACTTTGGATTGAAGATGATATTCAGAAATCATGGACATTGCGAAAACATGCAAAATAACATGAGTTTGTGGTAAAGGCTAAACAAGGGTGGGTCCAAAAATACCTGCACTGGAAAAGAAATTTCAAAATCCATGACTTTCAGAAATCATAACTTACTGGGAGAATTTTACATAAAATGTCATACCCAAGTCACTTTCACTCTCATTATTATCCTTTTCAGGAGCTCTTTTTTTGTCTATGAATTCTACTTGCACTCTATCTTTGCTTACTTATTACTGTAGAAATTTGGATTATTTTGTTTTACTAATTGATTTGTAGTGCTACTAGTAAAAGCATTACTCCTAATAGTCTACCTCGACAATTAATATTATGTCTGTCGCTTTGAAATTGCACAATACTCCGTATATGAAGTACTCTTGTACAAGAGAAAGGCTATTTTTAGAGAAATGTTGAATAACAGTGTTTCGGGTTGTCTGCCTGGTTTTCTTACCTAAATAAAATGATACGTAGTATGTAAAACTACAAGTGTATACGTGTACGATGCATAACACATTAATATGACAATTCAAAACTATACCTTACTACATGCAATATGTTTATAAAGTCATGTTTAGCAGAAATAATTGTTGTACCAATATATCAATTACTTCGTATACTTTTATTTTTGGTTAAATTCTCACTATTAACGCTTGTATTATACGGAAAGTCATTAATCAAAGTGATGGATATAATTATTAACGTGCATTAATGGCCACAATTATGTTATCTTCCTCTCTCAAGATATGTGAAAATAGTCCCCAAGTAGCTAGGGGATTTGGCATAGTAACACATATATAATTGGCATTACCTAACACTTAGAAAAACTTTTTACAGATCTTCTAGAAGTAAAACATTGTTCATTGAATGGAGTTGTGGAATCGTCTAGGTGTTTTTAGTTGTGATGGTTATCAACGTCATATACTCCCTCCGTCCCATAATACTTAGGACGTTGGGGTGGACACGTAGTTTTAAGACATTTGTTTAGTATATAAAGGATTCTTTTTTGTATTTTTATATTGTAAGAAAATAAAAAGCAGGGGAGGTGGGGGTAGTGAGGAGAGAGAAAATGTAGGATTTAATTGGGTTTTGCCGTTTTGGGGTTTGTGGTCCTAAAAAGAGTATAGGAAATTATTTTTTTTATTAGTGGTCCCATTTTATATTTAGTAACGTGTCAAGTATTTTGAGACGGACGAAAATGGTATATGTGTCAAGTATTATGGAACGGAGGGAGTATATACTTTACACATAATTGGCAATCAACTAATGCATTCTTTTTGCTTTATAAAATAGGGCTTTTCTTATTGTAATGCACACGTTGAGAATTTCATAATTTAGAAAATTAAAATACTTTGTTATAGAGATATATATGTAAGACCAGGAGAATGTTTTTGTATTAATACGTATTTCCTTATTTGCTCTCTCTAATCTAAATGATAATAAGCAGAGGAGAGAGGAATTTTGTACAATAAACTAATTACTCGTAGTAAATCATTCAAAATGACTTATATTTCATGTTTTTTTAATGTTTAACTTGTCAAACTTGTAATAATATAAATAAAAAGCAAAGATGATTGAGAGCTTATTTCGAGTCAATATTGGTTGTAGTTTGTATGATTGATCAACTTAATTGTATTGTAAGTACTTTGTTTTGGTTGTTTGAATTAGCTAGTAATTATACTTATTGTTAAGATAATTATGTAAATTATTAGCTTAGTCAACGTATATATTGTTTCCTAGTTTATAGGATATGTTTTAGTTAGTTTCCTTGATATTTGCCTAGGATTATGCCTAGATGATACTGTGTATATTTGTATAAATATTAATGAGCGATGAAGGAAACGACTCACGGAAAACATTCTTTTATGGTATCAGCAGTCTAGGGCGATCACTCTTCCGCTGCACCCTAGCTTTCCGCCATTACTCTTCTTCTCTTCTTCTTCTTCTCTGCTATGGGGGAATCAAAATCCTCTTTCCACCCTGCTCTTACTGTCAACAATATCAAGCACAACATCCCTGTTGTTCTCGAATTGACGGACGCACAGTACTCTACTTGGGCTGAATTGTTTAAAATTCATGCTCGATCTCACAAGGTGTTAGACCATATTATCCCTCCGCCTAAGGAGAAGGCGAAGGTCCCTGTCACTGACGAGGAAAAGGAGACATGGTCTGTTCTGGACGCTGCTGTCCTCTCGTGGATTTATTCCACCATCTCCAACGACCTATTGCTCACCATCATGGAACCAGACGCCACGGCAATGGAGGCATGGGATAGGTTGCGTGATTTATTTCAGGATAATCAGAATTCTCGTGCTTTGACCCTTGAACAGGAATTTTCGACCACCAAAATGGAGGATTTTCCAAACGTCTCTGCTTACTGTCAGCATCTCAAGAGTCTCTCCGATCGATTGCGCGGTGTTGCTGCTCCAGTGGACAATAATAGATTGGTTCTTCAATTGGTTTCGGGTCTTACCGAGGCTTACAAGGGAGTTGCGACCCTTATTCGCCAGAGCAATCCTCTTCCTCTGTTTTCTCAAGCACGGTCGATGCTTACGCTGGAGGAGGCCGGTCTCGCAAAGCAAGCCGCAACAGGGGCTGCGTCAGCCATGGTCATTCAGTCCCGGGATAATTCTGACGATGGTCATGATAATGCTGGGGGTTCTCGTGGCCGCAATAAGCAGAAAAATTCAGGCAACCGCAAGCATTCCGGTGGAAAAGGCGGCGGTGGCAAGGGTGGCAACTCCGGTGGCAAAGGTGGCGGCCGAGGGAACTCCGGTCACCAGCAGCAACAGTGGTAGGCTCCTCCGGCTCCCTGGCAGCAGCCGGAATGGGCACAGTACCCGGGTTGGGGATGGATTCCTAGATGGGCTACCCCTCCATGCCCATACCCCAATCTGGGCTGGGCTCGTCCTCAAGGCCCACAAGCAAAGCAGCCTGGTCTATTGGGTCCTCGTCCACAAGCCTATGCAGCTTCAACTCAGCCTACGCAGTACGCTCCAACCGACATTGAAGCGGCTATGCACACTATGACGTTGAATCAACCCGACCCCTCATGGTACATGGACACCGGAGCCACTTCTCATATGACATCCTCCAACGGTAATCTCTCGTCTTATTTTAATTTGAGCAATCATCATGGTATTATTGTTGGTAATGGTCATACTATTCCAATTCACGGTTGTGGTCATACTACTCTCTCTTCCCCTAATCCTCCCTTGTCCCTAAACAATGTTCTCCATGCTCCCAAACTCATTAAAAATCTAATTTCAGTTCGGAAATTTACAACCGATAATAATGTGACTGTTGAGTTTGACCCTTTTGGTTTCTTTGTGAAGGACTATCGGAAGGGGTGGCCAATAATGAGATGTAATAGCACGGGTGATCTTTATCCTCTCACCAACACCACTTCCACAACTTATTCTTCACCTTCAAGTTTTGCAGCGTTAGCACCTTCTCTTTGGCATGATCGTTTAGGTCATCCCGGGTCGAGTATTTTACATACTCTTCGTAGTAATAAAAGCATTGAATGTAATCGAACTACTAGTTCTAGCATTTGTCATTCTTGTGTTCTAGGGAAACACATTAAATTGCCTTTTTATTCTTCTATGTCTTCTACTACTTTGCCGTTTGATATTATACATAGTGATATTTGGACATCTCCTGTTTTGATTCTTCGGGACATCGTTATTACATGCTTGTTTTGGATGATTTTACTAAATTTGTGTGGACTTTTCCCTTGGCTAAAAAATCAGATGTGTATGATAAATTTTTCGCTTTTCAATCCTACATCCGCACACAATTTGAGCGTCCTATAAAAAACATCCAATGTGACAATGGGCGGGAGTATGATAATAGTCCTTTTTGGGAATTTTGTGAGTCAAATGGGTTGTCTTTCCGTCTTTCTTGCCCACATACGTCTCCACAAAATGGTAAAGCCGAAAGAAAATTGAGATCACTTAACAATATCACTCGCACTCTTCTCTCTCATGCCTCTTTACCTCCTTCTTTTTGGCACCATGCTTTACAAATGGCCACTTACTTGCATAACATTTTACCTAGCAAGTTGTTAGGCAACAAGTCTCCTCTTAGTGTTCTTTATCACAGGGAACCTTCGTATTCTCACTTACGAGTTTTTGGGTGTTTATGTTTTCCTTTATTCCCCTCCACCACAATAAATAAACTCCAACCCCGATCCACTCCTTGTGTGTTTTTAGGTTTCCCTCCGAACCATAGAGGCTATAAATGTTATGATCTTTCATCACACAAAATTATCGTATGTCGTCATGTGCTATTTGATGAAACTGTGTTCCCATTTGCTAAGTTGCATACTCCCTCTACCACTTCTTATGATTTTTTGGATGATGGTCTTTCCCCGTATCTGATTAACCATATGCAGGCTGCTTCATCTACTGGGCCTAGTAACTCGGCCCAACCTCCCTTACATGAACAAGCCGCCCCATCCTCTCCTCTCTCTACTGGGTCGACTGCTCCAACACGCCCAGCCCACACAGCTCCACAATCTCCCTCTCATCTCACGACCTCCCCCCCCCCTCTGCTGGGCCGCAACCACAACACAGCCCAAACACTACTCCTTCCCCAATCTCACCCACACCAACTGTCCAACCCATTATCTCCATCCCTCCTCAACCCACTCCTCGTTCCACTATGGTCACTCGTAGCCAACATGGTATTTTTAAGCCAAATAAAAAATATTGCAATGTTGCTACTGTTTCTAAGGTTACAAAATCTCCTATTCCTTGTAATCCAATAGATGCTTTACGTGACCCTAATTGGAAAATGGCTATGGATGATGAATTTAATGCTCTTATTAAAAATAAGACGTGGGAGTTGGTGCCCCGTCCACCTAATGTTAATGTCATTCGTTCTATGTGGATTTTTACTCATAAGGTGAAATCTGACGATTCTATTGAGAGGCATAAGGCCCGTCTTGTAGGTGATGGCAAAACTCAACAGGTGGGCATTGATTGTGGAGAGACTTTTTGTCCGGTGGTCAAACCGACAACTATTCGGACTGTTCTTAGTCTAGCTTTGTCAAAAGCTTGGCCTATTCATCAACTTGATGTAAAAAATGCTTTTTTACATGGTGAGCTAAAGGAGACGGTTTATATGCATCAGCCGGTTGGTTTTCGTGATAAGACTAGTCCAGATTATGTGTGTTTGTTGGATAAGTCCTTATATGGCCTTAAGCAAGCACCCCGGGCATGGTATAAAAGGTTTGCTGATTATGTGTCTTCTATTGGTTTCATTAATAGCAAGTCTGATAATTCTTTGTTTATTTATCGATCGGGGTCACAAACGGCATATCTATTATTGTATGTGGATGACATCATTTTGACAGCTTCATCTCATGCTCTTCGATGCTCTATTATGTCTCTCCTTGCTTCTGAATTTGCTATGAAGGATTTGGGTCCTTTAAATTATTTTCTTGGCATTTCTGTTACTAGGCACAAAGGGGGACTTTTTCTATCCCAACGGAAGTATGCAGAGGAAATAATTGAAAGGGCAGGTATGACATCTTGCAAGCCATCAGCCACACCAGTTGACACTAAGCCGAAGGTGGGTTCGACAGGTACTCCCTATGCTAACCCGACTCATTATTGCAGCTTGGCAGGGGCTTTGCAATACCTCACGTTTACGAGACCAGACATCTCATACGCAGTCCAGCAGGTTTGCTTGCATATGCACGACCCTAAGGAGTGTCATATGGCCGCTCTCAAGAGAATCATTCGCTATATTCAAGGTACTAAGGAACATGGGCTACACTTATATCCTTCTTCTACCTTGTCTCTCATCTCCTACACTGATGCGGATTGGGGAGGGTGCCCCGATACTAGGCGTTCCACGTCGGGTTATTGTGTGTATCTAGGGGATAATTTGGTATCATGGTCATCAAAACGACAGCCTACACTCTCCAAGTCAAGTGCCGAGGCCGAGTATAGGGGAGTTGCAAATGTGGTGTCCGAAGCTTGCTGGCTTCGAAATTTGTTACTTGAACTGCATTGTCCACTAAGGAAGGCTACCTTAGTTTATTGTGACAATGTAAGCGCAATATATCTCTCGGGTAATCCAGTGCATCATCAACGAACTAAACACATTGAAATGGATATACTTTTTGTTAGGGAGAAGGTTGCGCGTGGTGATGTTCGAGTTCTTCATGTTCCTACTCGTCATCAAATTGCGGACATTTTTACTAAGGGGCTTCCGCGTATATTATTTGAAGATTTTCGGGATAGTCTCAGCGTCCGTTGCCCTCCCGCTTTGACTACGGGGGTGTGTTAAGATAATTATGTAAATTATTAGCTTAGTCAACGTATATATTGTTTCCTAGTTTATAGGATATGTTTTAGTTAGTTTCCTTGATATTTGCCTAGGATTATGCCTAGATGATACTGTGTATATTTGTATAAATATTAATGAGCGATGAAGGAAACGACTCACGGAAAACATTCTTTTACTTATATTCATCTATTTTACCTATAAAGAAGCAATAAATCTTTTTTTTTTTTTTTTTTTTTTTTTTTTTGGTAACAAAAAAATCAGTTGTTAATTGATAGTTAGCTATGTTAATTGATAGTTAGCTATTCATCATGTTCAATAATAAATCAACAAGCCATAAGTTTGTTCTTTAATTTATTTTATTCAAAATACATTATCCAAACATAGCCTCGCATATACTTGTTTAAACTAGCACATAAGTAATTAAAGAGAAAAACCACAAGTCAATAAGAATTAATAGGTTAAAAAACATTTACCAAATACGTAAAATTCATTAGTTGCATGAGCATGTGCAAGTCCCTTAAAACTTGTAATTAGGATAAGTATATGTATTATGTAGGCCACCTATTTGTCTTCATCAAAAATTCTCTTTGGTTGGTAATATTTTTTAATTTTTTATTTTTTTTAAATTTTTTATCTAAAGGCATAATTCGATTTTTTTTTTCGTATTCATACTCGATCAATTCTTCTTTCATTCAATGCATGCTGATTTTTATATACACGTCAATTAAATAAATTAGCCAAGGTATATATTTCAACGTTATTTGATTGATCTATTAAGTAAGCCGCTAATTTCAATTCATTGGACATGCAAATTGAACGTGTCTTGTTAGGATAAAACAAGTCTACGTACAACTACGTAAGTAACGAGTGTTTAAACAAACTTTTCGGCGGCCCCTCAAGGAATAATTTATTTCTTAATCAGTTTATCATCATTATTATTTTAGTTTACTTAAGCCTTATTTTATTCTAACATACTTCATGATTGGAATATTATACGTATAATTATTACTTTCTCCATGTTTTAAATAAATGCAATGATAATTGGTTTTGTAATGCTGAACTGATCGTTAATATTTATAATTATTACATGTGTTGGTATAAAATAAGGAAAGAAATTTAAAACTATGTATATAGATGAATCTAATACGATTGTTCTTTTATATTTGACATTAAAGATAAAAAAATTTGAAAACATGCATCAACTAAGATAAATTATAACTTTCATCGTTCGACCAAATTTTTTAGCATTAAAAAGTTAATTTTTTTTTATTTTTTTTTCCTTGTTGTTGTTGATAAGGTGTATTTTAAAGTCAACTAAATGGATGGATATGATGAATTTTATTAAATGGAGGGTTGAGATTCACTCATTTACAATGACCACAATTTTATTGTAGCCACTTGAAAACTGTAAATCAAGGAAAACTAATAATTGATTGAAAGCTTTCTTTTTTTTTTTTTTTCTCAAGATACACAAGCTAAGTATAATACTTCCTTCATT